GTGCGGAAGTATGTGTAGTCAGTGTTACATGTTCATTTTAGCATACGTCTGCAGCTTTTATTTGCCTTCTTTCTTGTGTGATAGTGCAGAGTCATGTTTTGTTGCTGAAAAACGTTTGAGAAGGTTATCTCTAACACAAATATCTCCCAGCTCATATCATGCATCCTCACACAGTGATGTCTGAAACCTAGATTTATTAGAAAAGGATGCGTGACTTTAAGTAATAACTACAGTGCAAGAAGTAATCTCAATAGCAGTAGAAGTGACAGCCGTAGCAGCAGCAGCTGTAGTAGTAGGAGTAGTTGTAATAGTAGTAGTAGTAGTAGTAAATGTTGTAGTTGTAGTAGTAGGAGTTGTAATAGTAGTAGTTGGAGAAAAAGTAGTAGTAATTAGCTAGTTAGTTAGTTAGTTAGTTAGTTAGTTAGTTAGTTAGTTAGTTAGTTAGTTAGTTAGTTAGTTAGTTAGTTAGTTAGTTAGTTAGTTAGTTAGTTAGTTAGTTAGTTAGTTAGTTAGTTAGTTAGTTAGTTAGTTAGTTAGTTAGTTAGTTGGTTGGTTAGTTCGGTTATCATCATCGCACTCCATACATTTTCATAGGTGCACAGATCCTCCTCTCAATATGAACCCCAACGTCCAATGGCTAATATTACCAGTTCTATTTTGATTAACAAGTCTTCTGGTGTGCGTCTCGTTTTTTGCTATGCCGATCCTAATTCCTAAGTCTGCCATTCTGGCGAGTGATGTGGATTCACTGCCCCCAAAGACCTTTATCCTTCCCATTTCTCAAAATAAAGGTGACTCCATTCACAGTGGACTTCTGTAATGATTCAAGCTATTGTCTTCTCACCGAACCTGTCTGAACCCTCCGGATCATACTCATTGAATCACTAAGTAGTAGTAGTAGTAGTAGTAGTAGATGGAAAAGTAGTAGTAGAAATAGAAGTAAATGTAGTAGTGTTATTACTAGAAGATGTAGTAGTAGTAGTAGCAGCGGCAGCAGCAGCAGCAGCAGCAGTAGTAGTAGTAGTAGTAGTAGTAGTAGTAGTAATAGTAGTAGTAGCAGTAGTAGTAGCAGTAGCAGTAGCAGTAGTAGTAGAAGAAGTAGTAGAAGTAGAAGAAGAAGAAGTAGTATTAGAAGTAGTAGCAGTAATAGTAGTTATTAATAGTAGTAGTAGTTGTTGTTTTTGTAAACGTAGTAGTAGTTATTGTAGATGTAGTATTAGTTGTAGTAGTAGTAGTAGTAGTAGTAGTAGTAGTAGTAGTAGTAGTAGTAGTAGTAGTAGTAGTAGTAGTAGTAGTAGTAGTAGTAGTAGTAGTAGTAGTATTAGTAGTAGAAGATGTAGTAGTAGTAGTAGTAGTACAAATAGTATTAGTAGTATATGTAGTGGTAGTAATAGATGTAGTAGTAGTAGCAGTAGATGTAGTAGTACTACTTTAACACGATGAGTTTATGGACACATGATTTTTGTTCATGGCATAGAGGGATGCCAGTATAAGAGTTGATACATGCTGTTTAAGATAGCAACTTGTGGAGAGGCATGATCCCAGATCCCAGTTGGCAAGTCAATTGATAATGAATAGTATTAGTAGTTGTAGTCGTAGCGCTAGTAGTAGTAGCAGTTGTAATAGTAGTAGTAGTAGTAGTAGTAGTAGTAGTAGTAGTAGTAGTAGTAGTAGTAGTAGTAGTATAGTAGCAGTAGAAGAAGTAGTAGAAGTAGAGGCTGTAATAGCAGTAGTAGTAATAGAATTAGTAGTCGTTGTTGTTGTAATAGTAGTAGTAGTCGTTGTAATAGTAGTAGTAGTAATAATAGTAGTAGTAGGCAGTTGTCTTGTAGTAGTAGTACAAACGCTCTAAGGACACCCTGAAGTCTTCATTGAAAGCATTTGGTATGAATGACACAAATTAGGAGGCTGCCTCTCAAGGCCGAAATGCATGGCGTGCAACTCTACAAAGGGCGCGGCTACATGTGAAGCAAAAAGAACAGCAAAACTAGTTTAGAAAAGGATGGACAGAAAGGCGACAGCAGGAGATCTCCTCCATGGCACAAAACTCATTCCCTATCCTCACTGTCCAAGAACTGTTCAGGCTCGCATCGGCCTCATCAGTCATCTTTGTACTCATACTTGATGATAAAGAGCGGTCATCATCATCTTGGTGGACAACACACACATACACACAAAGAGGCATCAGTAGTAGTAGTGGTAGCAGATGTAGTATAGTAGCAGATGAAATAGTAGTAGTGGTAGTAGTAGTAGTGGTAGTACTGGTAGTAGTAGATGTAGTAGAAGTAGTAGTAGTATGAGTAGTGGTGGTAGTAGTAGTAGAAGTAGAAGTAGTATTGGTAGATGTAGTATTAGTAGAACCAGTAGTAGTAGTAGATTTAGTAGTAGTAGTAGTAGTAGTAGTAGTAGTAGTAGTAGTAGTAGTAGTAGTAGTAGTAGTAGTAGTAGATGTAGTAGAAGTAGTAGTAGTATGATTAGTAGTAGTAGTAGTAGTAGAAGTAAAAGTATTAGTCGTAGTAGTAGTAGTAGTAGTTGTAGTTGAAGCAGTAGCAATAGCAGCAGAAGTAGTAGTTGTATTTGTAGTAGTAGTTGTAGTACTAGTAGCAGCAGAAGTAGTAGTAGTATTAGTAGTAGCAGCAGAAGTAGTAGTAGTATTAGTTTGTAAAAGTAGTAGTAGTAGTAGTAGTAGTAGTAGTAGTAGTAGTAGTAGTAGTAGTAGTAGTAGTAGTAGTAGTAGTAGTAGTAATAGTAGTAGTAGTAGTAGTAGTACTAGTAGTAGTAGTATTAGTAGTAGTAGTAGTTGTAGTAGTAGTAGTAGTATTAGTAGTAGTAGTAGTAGTAGTAGTAGTAGTAGTAGTAGTAGTAGTAGTAGTAGTAGTAGTAGTAGTAGTAGTAGTAGTAGTAGTAGTAGTAGTAGTAGTAGTAGTAGTAGTAGTAGTAATAGTAGTAGTAGTAATAGTAGTAGTAGTAATAGTAGTAGTAGTAATAGTAGTAGTAGTAGTAGTAGTAGTAGTAGTAGTAGTAGTAGTATTATTAGTAGTAAGTAGTAGTAGTAGTAGTAGTAGTAGTAGTAGTAGTATTAGTAGTAGTAGTAGTAGTAGTAGTATTAGTAGTAGTAGTAGTAGTAGTAGTAGTAGTAGTAGTAGTAGTAGTAGTAGTAGTAGTAGTTGTTGTTGTAGTAGTAGTAGTAGTAGTAATAGTAGTAGTAGTAATAGTAGTAGTAGTAGTAATAGTAGTAGTAGTAGTAGTAGTAGTAGTAGTAGTTGTAGTAGTAGTAGTAGTAGTAATAGTAGTAGTAGTAATAGTAGTAGTAGTAGTAATAGTAGTAGTAGTAGTAGTAGAAGAAGAAGCAGTAATAATAGAGACAGAGGAACTAGATTCTGAACAACCAGTTGATACATGCTGTTGACTATCGCAGCTTGTGTAGTGGCGAGGATCGCTGACGACACTCGGCAAGGCAGTTGATAATGAACAGTAGTAGTACTAGAAGATTTAGAAGTAGTATTAGTAATAGTAGTTGTAGTGGTAGTATTAGTTGTTGTTGTTATAACAGTAGTAAAAGTAGCAGTAATATTAGTAATAATAGCAGGAGTAGAAGTAGAAGTATTAAAGAACTAGTAGCATTGGCAGCAACACAGCAGCCAGCGTATTAGCGGTAGTAGTATTGTATTAATAATGACAGAGTCACCATTACTTACTGAGCTAATATGTGGTCGTATGATGCGTGTTTGGGGAACATTGAGATAATAGTGAGATTCATTATTCTGAAAGAGAAAGCTTGATGATGATGATAATGGTGATGATAACAATAATAATTTCACGCTCATTACACCAGCTCATCACAAATCAACGTCCTTCACAGAACATCGCAGTTCTCACGGCACGCCTGAAAGTTTCCCTTTCCCTAGCCAGCTCCCCAGCCCTATGTGCTTTCAATGCAAATGCCTCTTTAATGTCTTGTATCCACTTTCGCTGAGGTCGACCGCTGCTTCTCTTTCTACAAACTGCCCCCTCCGCCACCGTCATTTCCAAGCCACCATGACGATTAATGTGGCCAAAATACTTCAACTTTCGGGACTGGACGCTGTTTATTAGCCAATTCTCCTTGATGGGTAACTCGTGTATAATGTCGTTTTTTTCCCCAGTTTTTTGTGTGCTGATCTGTGGTATTCTGATAATTTTTCTATAACATTTCAGTTCAAAAGATCCAATATTTGTCCGTCAGTGATTGAGTGAGAGTCCAGGTATAAATTCCTGATCTCAAGAATTTTACTTCAGCTAATTTACAGGTGCTTTGCCATAGGTTCTTCATGCTGTTTAATCTCTGCATTGCTAATGCAAGTCTGTCTGACTTCTTTCTAGCAGTCTACACGAACTCTAATTACAAATGAATCATGACGTTCTGGAGAATATGGGTGGCTTGAAGTGGCCAGTGGATATGACCGACCCTCCACACTCAGAGAAAAGGAAGACAAACGTACAATCACAGTTACCAAATCGCTATGGCTGTATGTTCATAGCCAATTTCATCTTTAATGTCCTGTATCCCCTTTCACGGAGATCTGCCTCTGCCTCGTTATCTGGAAACTGTAGTCTCCATAAGTGCTCTCCAAGCCACCATGACTTTAAACATGTCTAAAATAGCTTATCACTCGCGGGCAGGATGCTGTTTATGAACCAATTCTCCTTAACGCTCAGATCATATAGGATGTCAGTGTTTTTTCTGCTTTATGGTCCACGGTGTTCTAAGAAGGTCACTGAAGTACTTCGCTTGAAAGGGTCCATTTTGTTTTCCTCGTTAACCATGACTCTCCTAAAAGAAATATATTTCAAAAGTACCTTACCCTTAATAAAGGGGAGAGGAAAGAGTTGGCAAAAACCGTGAGGTAAGCAGGATGGGGCCTTTTTCTCTAATGTCACTGACGTCAGAGAACCACATCCTGTAGTTATGTAATACATGGGTCGTTGAACCCTCAGGGTCGTGTAGCATATAGGGTAATATGATTCTCGATGTGAGACGTGTGTGGGTGAAGTGGGTTGCAATGTAATACTGCAGGCACGCGTGCTGGATTAGGAGGGAGGTACCTACACGGCTGTCAAGAGTGAAAATAAAGAGAACGAATGAACACAATTTTTTTTTCAAAGGGTTAAGAACTGGGCGCGCAGGCTCGTCTAACTTTCTGAACTTCTCATCTCACTTTTTTAATACATTTGTTCTTTCATACATCTGTTAACAAGTAATAGCACTATGCGTACAAATACTCTTACATGGCATGCCAAACACACACACACTCAAACATACCTACGATAATTCATACATACCCACACATACATACACCTCAACAACAGAAAACATGCATACACAAACCTAAACATACAGAAGCACCCAATCATGCACATCCGTACATGCACCGTTATCCCTACATACACAAACATAACTATCCATACATATACAGCACACATACATACACAGACACCTACATTTGTACACACGTGTACATACATAATCATGCACAAGCGCACATATACACACTCATACATACACAATCACGCATACACACTTATACAAATATATATATATATATATATATATATATATATATAATATATATATATATATATATATATATATATATATATATATATATATATATATATATATATAACACATACATTCATGTGTACTTATCACAAAACCTATTTAATTATAAACTGACAATGCATTATGTCTTAACTAAATATAAGGCGGCATCTAAACACTAGCAAGCATGAATTGAAAAAGTGTGTGAATCAATGAATAGGAACTCGTTGTAGTTTCAGATCAAGTGGAAGTTAGTTCATAAATGAGCAGTGTGGTGTTCTGTGTGTGTGCGGGTGACACAAGTAGAGTCCTGGGAAGTATAGTCGACTGGCAGGATGTTGATGGGAAGTATAGACGACTGGCAGGATGTTGATGTGAAGTATAGTCGACTGGCAGGATGTTGATGTGAAGTATAGTCGACTGGCAGGATGTTGATATGAAGTATAGTCGACTGGCAGGATGTTGATGTGAAGTATAGTCGACTGGCAGGATGTTGATGTGAAGTATAGTCGACTGGCAGGATGTTGATGTTAAGTATAGTCGACTGGCAGGATGTTGATGTGAAGTATAGTCGATTGGCAGGATGTTGATGTGAAATATAGTCGACTGGCAGGATGTTGATGAGAAGTATAGTCGACTGGCAGGATGTTGATGTGAAGTATAGTCGACTGGCAGGATATTGATGTGAAGTATAGGCGACTGGCAGGATGTTGACCACATCACCACCAATAGCCGTTTGGTCTATAAAATATAGGTCTAGCCCTACATGCCCAATACGCCTGAAGGAGTGGAAAGGATCCTTGACTTGATTGGACTGACTGGAACCAGCTTTTCACCTTTAGCACCAAGCGTTCACCACCACAGACTCGAGTTGTTGCTAACTCACCTGGATACATACCACCTCCTGCTGTCGATTTCAGATAAACTGTAGCGCAAATACCTCCTGTAATGGCACATTCTAATTTGAAACAGGCTGTCTGCCAAATTAGCTGGGGTAAACAGCAAAAGAATTCAATGCCAGCCAGGTAAAAGTTGGCACTTTCCCTTCTAATTCATGTCTACAGTGGGACATATTTATTGCAAATATGCAGACGGTCTCAACATTGTTGTTATTTCAAAATGTAAGCTGTGGTATTACGTTGTGCTCTGAATATTTGCTTATCGTATTTATCTCCAGCTTGCAAACTCCTTGACCAGCTTGCAGGTAACTAAAGGAACTTGTGGGGCCAGTGGCTCATCAGGGATATATATACAATCAGGCAAAAAGTGGAACCCAGTCTGTTTCACAGTATCCCAAACATAAACATCAAGTAAACGTTGCGGCTATAGAGCCTTGATAGAGACATGAATAGTCAATACCACGAATGTGAACAAGAATTTACAAAATCACTGAAAACGGTAATAGGAAAAAATACAGTACAGACGAGTTAGGTAAAAGGTAAAGGTAAAGTCGGGAGATGTGAACCAGCGTCATTTCGCACGGTTATAAACCATAAGTTCTCTGCACCCAGTACTGACAGCTGATAAGAAACTGTCCGCCTGTGTCGCTGTCCGCATGAAACTCCATAGCTACAGCGACGTCCCTCCATTTACCCCAGAGTGTTAACTCCGGTACCTATTACCTAGAGGCTGGGTGAACCCCTGGAACCGCCCGGTTTCGAACACCGGCCGTGGACTGCAGCGAGTCGCAGCTGAATTTGAAAGCGAGTCTCCTATCGACTGCGCTAACGCGGCCTTAAAACCAGTTAGACAGACACAACATAGATAACAGCAGTTCAGTGAGAGCGGGGCATACGAGAGAGGTGAAGTTAGTGAACTCCAGTGAAGCTACAAATATATTATGACACGTTTTCACACCATCAGATATCGGACACATGATGCTAGATTTCGATCTTTTAAACCAATTAACACTCGACGTAGACCTCATCATCCTTGATGTTTTTACTTCTTCCCGGCTACCCCTTGGATACTAGGCCCAGCTGGGCGCCAAGTACAAGTAACAAGAAAAGGATCCTTTTCGCATCAGTGCTGCATGGGGAATATAAAGTTAGCATCATATTTTGTTTTAAGTTTAAGGAGACGTTACACCGACCACATTTACTTCACGGGAAATTACAAAAAACATCATCAACAACAACAACACCAACAACAAATTTGGCATCGTGTCCTTTACAGGGAATTGCAGAAGCAACACCAGCATTCATAGTTTGCAGTTGCGTACTAAATGGTCTGCTCTCGGTCCATACCATCGTGGAAAACAACGCTAGGACATGTCCTGCTACCAGTTTTAGGCTGGGGCGACTAGAAAGCCAGGCTCAGTTCTGATAATGATCTGACTTGACGCGGATTCAAACCTAAGACATGTCTGTCAGGAAGCAAGCGTCTAACTATTACCCCACCTCGGCTTTATTTAAAGTGTAAGCTGAAGGTTTAGTTAGCTGTTCTGCATCTTCTAATGTCTGACTGGTCTGCCAGGGCACATGATGGTCTGCCAGGGCACATGATTCTCTGCCAGGGCACATGATGGTCTGCCTGGGCACATGATGGTCTGCCAGGGCACATGATGGTCTGCCAGGGCACATGATGGTCTGCCAGGGCACATGATGGTCTGCCAGGGCACATGATGGTCTGCCAGGGCACATGATGGTCTGCCAGGGCACATGATGGTCTGCCAGGGCACATGATGGTCTGCCTGGGCACATGATGGTCTGCCAGGGCACATGATGGTCTGCCAGGGCACATGATGGTCTGCCAGGGCACATGATGGTCTGCCAGGGCACATGATGTCTGCCAGGGCACATGATGGTCTGCCAGGGCACATGATGGTCTGCCAGGGCACATGATGGTCTGCCAGGGCACATGATGGTCTGCCAGGGCACATGATGGTCTGCCAGGGCACATGATGGTCTGCCTGGGCATATGATGTCTGCAGCTTACGCCACTGGATAGACTCTGTACCAGTGTTTCCCAAACTGTTATTGGTCGCGGCGGTTTTTTTTTTTTTTTTTATTAAAATTTTCCACGGCGCCCTAATCTAAGTAAAAGTGTGACTATTCCCGTCTTGGTTATATTAATTATGAAGCTTTTACAATATTTTTCGATTCGCCTTTGTGAAGAGTTAGCGGCTTCCTGGGGCGCACAGTTTGGGAATCACTGCTCTATGCCATAGGTGCACTGATTCGAGTGGCGAAATCTGAAAACCGTGCTAGAAAAACCCGTCGTTACATAAACCAGAACAGAATTGGAGTTATTAGTCCAAGAACAGTCAGAGACAAACTCAGGACGACATGGCGCCAGGTATGGTCATGTACATTGAGCGAGAAAGGCGATCTGTAAATAAACAATGCAGCTTTCCTATTCTTTGGCCACTCTTTCGGTCAAGTCAAGAACCCCATTATGCCATCGTACATATGGTGCTAGAGCCATATTTGTGTCGACCGGTAGGCACTCAGTGATTGACACTGACCGCATCGCCCTAGCCTCCTGTTCATCTCTGGTACTCATTTTAGCTTGAGCCTAACACACTTTATCAACAACAATGACAGTAATACTACTGAATTGAAAATATACAAAATAATGCATTTTAAATAATGTAAAATGTATAAACAACTGCTTAAATGTTGAATGTTGAGATGAGAATGGACATCACAGCACTCGGAACACCCCTACAAGAACCCCATGGGGAACACCCCATCTTCAGCAGCAAGCAAAGAGTTAAATTTCCAATGGTGCCAGTAACTGATTGTATATCCGTCTCTTCAAACAACTGCTTAAAAAGATAACATCTACGATAACTGGGAACTTTTTTGGAAAGGGAAAGGCGGAGCGGGGAGGGGGGGGGGGGGAGTTCTTAGTTAATCACTAACAAATTATGGGGTGGGTGGAAGAGGGGGGGGGGGGGAACAAAGTCACCAAGGCGCCATGATTCGGGACCCCTGACAAGAGCGGGCACAGTTAAAGCATCAAACAATGGAACCATATGTGCTGTTGTGTGTACCTTCAGCTGCTTGATGCACTGCCACATCAGCAAGAAGCTTTTCCAGGTCAGTGTTTCAAGAACACCGGTAGACTAACCACCACACAGGCAACATGTGCTTGCAAAATCTTCACAAGAAGCCAATCCTAGCAGAACAAAGAAATGAATGAAGTATTTGAAAATCACCGACAAGGAACTGTTTTTAATTTTAATTTTACTGCTGGAAAAGGCAGATTGACCTTTTGGTTTCTGCTAGAACTAAGTTGATTATTTGAAAACGTATCTTGGTTATATTCTATAACATTTTAAACCTGTTTCTGGTGGGCGTTTTCCTTAGGAACAAGATTAGGCATGCTGACTTAAAATATGCGAAGGAAAGTTAGTAAGTCTAAGAATGATGGCTACAATGAAATAGGTAAATCATAAGGAGAAACATATACTGCCTTACTACTATCGAAAACTAAAAACATAATGTATGAGAGGTTGCAGAATGTGGGGTCATACATTTATGAAGGCAGTAATATAGGTATAGATGTGGGAATATAGAGACAGTAAAGTAAGAATACAGAAGGCAAGTGAAGTTTTTATAGCACTAGGAAATCTATAGAAGTCAAAGACAATTTAAAATAGTACTAAACTTACAATATTGTGCTTCAATAAAAGATCAGTACTGCTGTAAGGAGAAATGATCAATGCTGCTGTAAGGAGCTGGAACACGGAGAGCAGCTAACACAATTACAATAAACTACAAACATCTAATGCCAGCGGATGACAAAGTTTGATCGAATCACAGATGTGGGGCTTGAAAAGGGAAGTAAAGAAATGTCTTTTGTCAAGATGTCAATAAAAGATTGCGGTGTTTGATGGGTTGATAAAGCCTGACAACATAATATTTGAATATCTTTATACTGGAACCACCGGAACATAGAGATAGACCAAAAAACGCGTGACAAACGAACCACAGGAACATAGGGACAGACCTAAAACGCATGAAAAACGAACCACAGGAACATAGAGACAGACCGAAAACGCGTGACATACGAACCACATAAACATATACACAGACCAAAAACGCATGAAAAACAAACCACAGGAACATAGAGACAGACCCAAAACGCGTGACAAACGAACCACAGGAACATAAACACAGACCCAAAACGCCTGACAAACGAACCACAGGAACAAAGAGACAGGCCCAAAACGCCTGACAAACGAACCACAGGAACATAGACACAGACCCAAAACGCTTGAGAAACGAACCACAGGAACATAGAGACAGACCCAAAACGCCTGACAAACAAACCACAGGAACATATACACCGACCCAAAACGCATGACAAACGAACCACAGGAACATAGTAACAGACCCAAAACGCCTGACAAACGAACCACAGGAACATAGAGACAGACCCAAAACGCCTGACAAACGAACCACAGGAACATAGACAAAGACCCAAAACGCCTGACAAACGAACCACAGGAACATAGACACAGACCCAAAACGCATGACAAACGAACCACAAGAACATAGAGACAGACCCAAAACGCCTGACAAACGAACCACAGGAACATAGACACAGACCCAAAACGCCTGACAAACAAACCACAGGAACATAGACACCGACCCAAAACGCATGACAAACGAACCACAGGAACATAGAGACGGACCCAAAACGCCTGACAAATGAACCACAGGAACATAGACACAGACCCAAAACGCGTGACAAACGAACCACAGGAACATAGAGACAGACCCAAAACGCCTGACAAACGAACCACAGGAACATAGAGACAGACCCAAAACGCCTGACAAACGAACCACAGGAACATAGAGACAGACCCAAAACGCCTGACAAACGAACCACAGGAATATAGAGACAGACCCAAAACGCCTGACAAACGAACCACAGGAACATATAGACAGACCTAAAACGCGCGGCAGACGAACGAACACAAACAGCTGCATGTAATAGCAAACGATTTGAAGATTTCGCGTGAGTTGGTTGAGAGAGCCTATGCTCTCCTGGGGAGATAGGGGACAGAAGAAAAATCACACAGGGAACGTTATAAATCTGGTATGGGGTTGAACATGAAACAGCTGAACATATATATTATAATATCACCCATTTAGTTTTGGAAACTGTCTTTACTACCAGTATTTAGTATTTACAAGGATGTAGGACACGAAGATCTTGAGTTCTCCTTTAGTTTGGTCTTTATCTTCATCATCATAATCATCATCATGTACTCTGCCTAGCTGCGTAGAACAGGTGTTTCTCCATAGATGTTGCATTGACATCTTGAATCTGTTTCATTAATTGTATTCCACCAGGCGGTCGAGCATCGTCTCTCTTTGTCGACCTGTGTCTCTTCTACCTTTGATGTTTCCAGTCATCATGGTGCCTTAAGTGGCGCTTTTTATTTCACCATCTGACCGAAGTACACTGACAGCTTCTCTCAGTTTATTTTAACAAATTCGACTGTCGACTTTCACGGCGTGACTGTCTCCTGACCCCTTCCAATGGGACCGTGATACCCAAACAGGCAAGTCTTATGCCAGATTGTGTTATGCTGTATGGCTAGTACAGCCGCCACACCCTGTACATGTTTGGAATTTAGTTTTGCCTCTGATAGCAAATGAAATCCAGACATTTTTGAGGACTTGCCGGGAAAATGGGGAAGAATCTAGTCTTTCCAGAGGGTTGTAGCAAAACCAACGACGTGAAAGACATAATCGTTATCGTCTTTCCTGACTGTATAAGTGATAGAGGGCTCATGATTTGTTCATCAGTTCCGTTCTAACCTTGCAGCTCTTTTGATACCATTGATGGGATCCAATCCACAACCGTTGGTCGCTTTCAACAACGTTTATTGAAAGCTTTCTCTTGGACGTCATAGTTTACTCATTTCACAGCTTTCTAATTTCAGCAACTGGGTAATTATTCTAAATACTCTCCTCTCTAAAATGAGCAGACTAAATTTCCCTCTTCTCTTCTGATATCTGTTTACACAGGTAGTCCTCTTGATAACCTTCTTATTTCTACATTTTCTTGAACAAATCGCTTTTAACAACGAAAGGTTCTGAAAGATAATATTTTGAAATAACACAAAAAGAAGCTGCTAAAAATAAAGTTGAAGGTTGCCGGAGTTTTCAGCTGGTAAAACAAACGGACTGTTTCAAGTTAGATAATTCATGAAATATAGCTTATTGTTATTTTTTGGGGGATTAAATCTAAAAAATCAAGCATTGAAGTGGCAACAACTCCATGATTTACTGTTACTTCCTTTCAGAGCTGCTTCCAGGCATAGAAGAGTTCCTCATAAACACGCTCGCTTCTGAATCGTTGACAAGTTTTGCCGAAGAGCGCAGACAGTTCTTTGTGGAACGTTTGGACATTGCCAACTTGCCCCCATCTGTACCACCGAGAGAAGGTAACATATTATAATTAGAGATGTATTTCTGGCAGGGAGCAACAGCAGCAGCAGCAACAGCAGTAATAGTAGTAGTAGTAGTAGAGTAGTAGAGTAGAAGTAGAAGAGTAGTTGTAGTAGAGTAGTAGTATTGGTAGTAGTACTAGTTAGGTTAGTTGCGTATTCTTTGCAGGACGTTGCAGAATCAACCCCAGTAGCCCCTGGCAGTTGTGTGGTTTTTCTAGGCAAATTGGCGGCCAGTAGTTTAGTAGTACTAGTACTAGTGGTAAAAAAGGCAACAGCAGTAACAGCAATAGTAGAGTAGTAGTAGCAGCAGCATTAGTAATATTAGTAGTGGTCGTAGCATTGTTACTGTTAAACAATTATTTTGTATTAGCAGTGTTAGAAATAGTGGTATTGACATTAGTAGTTAGAGTTGTAATGACAATAGGAGTAATATACTGTTTAAATTTAAAAAAAAAAAAAACGCATAGTTACCGAAAGGAACAAACATGCTCACAGTTTTGACATTCTGCATCTTTGTAATACAGTAAGTGAAATTACTTAAAATTTACTTAAGAATACCTTAGGGTTCCACCAATCAGTATACACCTTTTTATGCATCTAGGTCACGATAGTTTTTTAAGCGCAGGCCTTTCCCGAAAGTAAGGTGTGTGACCTCCCCTTGCGTGGATCAGTGACTGGCATCTCCTGGGCATGGATGCGATCAGATGTCTGATGTGGGCCTGTGGGATAGCTGCCCACTCTTCCTGGAGTGCCCGGAACAGATCACAACCATTAACTGTAGCAACGTTTCGGCGACAGACACGTCTTAGACACTATCCCACAGGTGCTAAATCAGACTAATGTCTTCAGACAGGGATGGCCAGGTGTCAGAGGCCAGTATGGCTATGGGACGAACGGAGGTGATGCTAGTGTATCATCGTATATGAACGATTTGACCTTCAGTACAGCTCAGTGTGGGACCGGGCAACTTGACCACGGATTAAACTGGGTGTGACGTTACGGCCCACTCCCTTGGAAATTACAACACTTTTTAGTGTGACGTCCCGGGTCGTGGGTTCTCTGGATTTGGGTTTAAATGATTTATATGTTGAGTAGGGATTTCCCCCTCAACACATCCCCTCCACCAGATTAACTGAACTATTATCCGGGCTATGTTGCTCTCAGACAAAGTCCTGGATATCCAAGAAAACAGCCATAATGGCTCGTTATTAATATTAACTTTAGCTGACCTTGGTACCCACAAGAGAAGGAAATGGGTTTTAGATGTCTATATATTATTATCTTGAATTATTTACTAGACAGGGCAGTTGACCCAATCCGTCGACCTTCTCTTGGTACAGAATTATTATTATTATTTAATGAGCCTCCACCAAATGCTATTCTATCTTAACAGTTTAATTAAACAGGTAAGAACAGACACACTTGGAATTATAAAAAAAACTGATGCAGGATAAGACCATATACTTGATTTATTATCCTAATAATCATTTTAGTTCTTTATATTTTTAGTCAATAATGATGGTATGGTGGTAATGGGATACTTCAGCTTGATAACTGAGCCCCTAAGATAAGAGTAAATGATAATGGTGGTGTTTAGTTACATAAATACATGTTACATAACTTTAGAAAGTGCAACCTCTGAGAGTCCTCGTGTTGAGTCCCTTCTTAGCTGTTCCAATCTTTCCGCCCAGTTCTCCTGGTCCTTCCACCTGGTTCTCTGATTCCCACCTGTTTCTAAGCTGGCCGAGTTCTAGCACAATGTAGTCTCGTGACCGTGATGACCCTCTATTTCTGTTCTTAGAAACGACTGATCCTCACCCACATGGGAGCTGTAATAATGGAAACAAACACATACGTGTAGTATCTTGACTTACACTAAGAATACATGTGTCAATTAATACAATATATAATAATACATTATATCTCATCACTCCTCATATTCCACATTCTCTCCAGTCTATTCTGAAGGTCTTTGTGTCTCACACCGACGTCTCACAAATCCTGCCTTCCCTCTAAGGTTCTGTCATGATAGTTGATTTTCTGTTGTCCGTCATCACTCAGACTTCCAACTTGCTGACATTGATTTGACATAAACATGTGGCGCAGGTTATGTGCTGAACACGCCAAACATTTTATACGAGCATGCTGTCCTGAATATTATCTTTCAGTGACAGTGAATAATATACACTCATGATTCTTCCCCTGGGGTTATAAATCCCCTGTTTAGGTAAACACATTAGGTGAGCACATGGTGGGCACCCAAAATGTAACAGCATAGCTGCATATGTGGGCATCATTTCCCACTGTCCAAACTCATGTTTTGGTTGATGGTTGAAACATTATAATTCACATTTCATTATACAAGTCTTATTTTATAAACATGAAAACATACACTGCAAAACATGTGCCACAAACATACAAGAAATAGAAATAGTTTAGCAGTTCCCTAACTGAGATACTGAATACTCACAAAGAACTATTTCAAGCAGAATGTGTAGACAAATTAGGAAAAGGTAGAATAGATTTTAGCTAACTCCCTAACCTATGTATACAAGATTGAAAATAATTGTACATTCTTACCTGGAAACTTCCAGCAATCGCCAAACTAGAATCAAACCATTAGAATTACCTCTAAGGTCGACCTGTTTGTTGCCTGTGGCAGCGATTATGACAGAAATTCCAGGGCTTGTCTTATCAATACCTCTATCTGTCTGCAAGGGTAAACTCCACCCTCTACTAGGTTCTACCCAACCCTCAAGGAGATGACTTAAGCCCCGCCTCTGAGGTACCTAGCAGATCAACCTAGCTATCAATGGGCCTGTCACTCACAGTGAACGGCCTACAGTACGACCTTGACCAAGATTAAACATTCCTAATTGCCAAACATCTGCTCTCAGGAGAATTTCACTATCATGTGTGAAAACTTCAGACGCTGGACGCCGGCCTGTCTTGAAATGTCTACCGGACCACTTAATTCCCCTGATCTATCCTGTTCAAAAGGAGCCCCTCAGTCTGTGTTATGTAACTTTTTTATGACACTAAAGTCGGGTTCAGGGGAGCTAATCAGGTGTGATACGAAGTTATCTCCCCCTTTACTTGCCTCTACAGACTGGGCAGGAGATAATATTTATGACATAGACACGAGAAAGGAATTCCTAGCCAAGGTAATATTACCTAAAGCAAGGTTGCTTTGTCTGGCTAGAGATTGGAAACGCAGTTTAAACAATTCTCAAATCCCTTGTAGTGGTTTTAGAACTATTTTAGGCTCAGTGTATATTGCTTATAATTCTTTGTCCTTCTCTGAACATAAGAAATTATCAAATACAATATAACTTCTGAGACCACTGAGGTCATTTCGTCACGCTGGGTTGAGTTAAACATTCACATTACATGTGCTGCTGAGTCCCATGTGGCAATAGACGGCGGCTTAGTTAGCACTGATAAACTGTTAGTTTGGAGTCGTGTTTTTTGTAGATCCATGGGGACCGGCTTGGGTTGACCAGTGAATGTAAAAGCTTTTCAACGCCAGCGGTTTCGGATAAGAACTGCCTACTCAGTTGAAGTGTCTCTAGTTGTTTTGTTCATTGTACATTAAAGATTATGTTTGTACTCAGCAGGAGTGTGTCTTAAGTGTGTCCAGGGTAGTGAAGTCTGTTGGCTGGCCTACTTAGCGAGCCATATAAAATGAATAGAGTAAATTAGATAATGGGAGCTCTTCCGGGATCATTATGTGTCAGCGACCTAATTTAGGGTTTGAATGTTATTGGCAGCCAGCAACTGCATGGTCAGCTGTACAGAATGGGGTCAGTCGTTGTCCTGTTGAAAAAGATATATGATGCACGTTTAGATGCCTAGCAACTTGACTTTGACTTTCTCCTGCCTGCAATCGGCCAATAGCAGCATTAATTGCGTGAGCTTAGCTCACAAATATGATCTTAAACACATTTGACCACAGCGTTGTAACGATTACAAAAACCCACAAATTCACGCCCACATGTCAACAAAACACTGCAAACAACATTTGAGTCTGCTTTCCACACATCCCGGTACGGTATGCCAGTGATCCTCTGCCACGTGCTAATAAAGGTCCAACATGTGTCCGGTAAACCAATCGTAAGCTTGTCGCTCGGTCGTCCAGGTATGCTGACTGCTTTAATTAGGCTGCCGCGACGACTTCTTATCTGACAGTATCTTCTGCAAACCACCAAGTCGTCTTGTCCCTATCCGAAAGAAAAACACCATCCGGTAATTTCGTGCAGCAGGGTACCAGCCCTGAGCGTCATGAACTCAGGTGGGCCCACCTCCGAAAGTGTCTAGGAATCGTCGGCCGAAACACTTGTCGCCGAGGATAATTTCTACTGACGACTGGTAGATCCCTGCTGTACTTGCTCCTTGTGAGTTTATTCCTATTTAAGAACTAATAAAAATGCGCGATCAGATACCTATACTTTTTTTTTTTTTTTTTTACAGAATAGAAGTGTCAGCATGTGTAGCAGTAGTAGCAGAAGCAATAGTCCTGGTGGTAGCAATAGTAGTAGTAGTGACAGTAGTTGTAGCGTTAGTAGTTGCAGTAGTAGCAGCACCAATGATAACAGCAGCAGTTGTAGTAGCGATAGTAGCAGGGGTAGTAGTAGTGGTAGCAGCGATATTATTATTAGTAGTAGAAGTAGTTACAGCAGCAGAAGCATCAATAGTAAGAGCAGCAGCTGTAGAAGTAATTGCAATAGCAGTAGTAGTAACTACAGTTGTAGTAGTGGCAGCAAATACTGCAGTAATAACATCAGTAATAGCAACAGCAGCAGCAATACTAGAAGAAACGGCAACAATGGTAGGAGGAATGGTATGACTAGTGGTATAGTGGTAGTAATAGTAGCAGTAGTAATTGCAGTAGTAATAGCAGCAGAACCAGCAGTTTGGACACCAGCAGTATAATTAGTAGTGTAGGAGGACTGCACAAGACACGCCTGAACAGTTTACAGTTTTCCGAGCTTGTACCGAACCAGATATAATAATTCAAGTAGTTAGTTAGTCTTTCCTCTTGTGTCGAGTGCGGCACATAGGGCAGAGGTCATGACTCTCCATGCATGGCGGCTCGTTGCAATCTGTTGTAGGTCTTGGATGTTTGAGTGGCCCATGAGTGAGCCTTCCCTGATGATAGTTCTTCGTAGGGTTTTCCTTGGTCTTCCACGAGATCTTTTCCCCTGTGGTGTCCAGATGAGGGCTTGGTAAGGAAGTCTTGATTTATCCATTCTAAGGGCGTGGCCGACATAGTTCCAGCGGCGTTTTCGTATAAAATTAGACACATACTCTTGCCTGGATTCTTGCCTAATTTGTGTATTGGTTCGGAAATCTGACCATTTGAAATTTAGTATTCTTCTAAGGCATAATTCAAGTAGCATACACCGAAAGCAATAAACCAGATGTAAGAAACCAGATGTAATAAACCAGATGTATTAAACCAGATGTAATAGAGCAGATTTAATAAAGCAGATACAATAAACTAGGTGTAATAAAGCAGATAAAATAAACCGGATTTCACAAGCCAGATTAATAAAGCATATAAAATAAACCAGATGTAATAAATCAGACATAACAAATCAGGTATAATAAAGCACGAGTAACAAACCAGATGTAATAAACCATGAGCAATAAACCAGATGGTAATAAACCAGATGTAATAAAGCAGATACAAAAAAGCAGATGTAATAAACCAGGTGCAATTAACCAGTTATAATGAGCGAGATATAATTAGCCCGATTATAATGAGCCAGATCTAATGAACAGGATAAAAAGAGCCAGTTATAACGAACCGGATATTTTATATTGACTCAGACAAAATGAGATATGTAAAATGACCGAGGCATTAAGAACCAGATCTCATGAACCTGTAGTAATGAACCAGACATAATAAACTGGATATAATGAACCAGATACAGTGAACCATACAAATATATTGCATAATCAAAATGACTTTCCCTGACATATCAGTTGAGGAGATGTATTGTTTCGTTGCCCAGGTCGAGTGCTGCCACAAGAACTACTGAAGGAGACGGAGGAATCCAGCGGCATACCAGCTGATCATAGCGCTCCAGATTTTGCAGCTACCCAGCGGGAAATATCGCGTTCGTTTATTGATCACAACACGGAGATAGATGTTAGCTCTCTTGAAAAGGTTCGTTGTTATTAATCTACTACCTGGCTGCCTGCCTACAGAGTACTTACCAACCTCCCGCATGTCTGCCCCTATGTTTTTCAGTCTGTCTGTCTCTGTCTGTATGTATGTCTGTCACTCCGTCCGTCCATCCGACCGACCGCCTATCCGTCCGTCTGTTTGTCTACGTGTCAATATTTTTGTATATCTCAGTGTCTGTCTGTATGTCTTTCTGACTGTCTGTATGTTTGTCTGTCTGTCTGTCTACTTGTATATCAGTCTGTCTGTCTTTCTACTTGTATATCAGTCTGTCTGTATGTATATCTATCTGTATGTGTGTCTGTCTGTATTTATGCCTGCCTGCCAGTGGATGAGAAAAATGATCTGCAATGCCTATGTTTACAAAGATTGTGGAAGCTGGCAAAAAAAGGACCATATAAACAGCAAGAGAAACGTGGATAGTTGTACAATTGCTATCTGGTGTGTTTGCCATTTGTTTTGTGTCGACTGGCGCCAACAGGAATTCTGAGACGCAAACTGCTGTTAGCGTACTGTTAGACCACATGACCCACAGAATACCTGAGCATTCTGATAGACTGGCTGCTGACGACCTTCTAGGTGGGGAGATACTTTATGATAACGTGGACGTGGTGGAGGTTCCATGGGAACATGTGGTTGGTGAAACAAAACACATAGGGTATCCATACCTTGAAAGAGTAATTCATGTGTGAGTAGAGGTTCCGAAAGATATTTAATATTGAGAAGGAAATAGGTGGACTTTTAATCAGGTGGAAACTGATACTGAAGAAGGAGACTGAGCACGTGTGCGAATGTTCTGATTTCAAGGATGTCACTTCTTGATTTATTCAGTAAGGTATACTTTAAGTTTATACAGGTCTAGAGCCCATAATTTAGGCTGTGCAGAATGGGCATTGACTAAACATTACATATGTTAACCAGCTGGATTCAGTTGTTAGCCAAGTTTCAGACCAAATCAGATTTCTTTCTGCTTGGTTGCCCATGCAGAAATATGTGACACATTTTGACGATGCGTCTTTGGTAAGGTGATATTATGTGAGGGGGTTAGTTCGGTAGTTTCTCAGCTTTCATATAAGCTCGATTATGAGTATACAGGTGTGATTTTACCGGGTCATGTTTCTGTTGCCAATATGTGCGGCTCGGGAATTCTTGTAGGTTGAGGTATATATATATATATATATATATATATATATATATATATATATATATATATATATATATATATATATATATATACTTCTTAAAGTGCTCTGTGTGTGTCAGTTATTGTGTGTGTTCTCCTGGCCTTTGCTTATTGAAAATGTGTGCTTTAAAAGGCATATTTTGTGTGTTGCTTGTGATGCTTTGTTTGTTAAATTCAACTCCAGTTAAAGGTTAAATGATCTTGTTTTATTACTTCACTGCGCATAACTGCTGTCTCCTCCCGAGAGCGGTGCACAAAGCAGGAACTCCGTAGCTCCGGCGAATGTCCGTAAAAATGCATTCGTGAACTGAATGAAGGAGCCCTGAAACGAACCAGGCCTTTAGAAAATTAAGCTAAAGACTTGCTTCATCTTATCCTCCCCTTCCCAGTCAAATCATGGGGTGACTGGCCGGCTGAGCTTTGAAGTGTACTTGATCCATTTAGAGAGTCATCTGGTCATTTGAAGGTTTGAATCCATATGTAGTCCTTCTACCTTTTAACGTCTACATTGTGTGGTGTATCCTCGGGAATCGCATCAGTGCACTTCCCTGCCGGCCTGAAGATTTTAGGTTCAAATTCACACTAGAAAGAATTTGTTATTGACCTTGGCCCACAGGTTGACTTAGTCTAAATTATGTATAAACTACAAAAATGGGAAGTAAACGCGACCAGTGTGTAGCTGACCACATCCTCCATCTAGTATCGGTTAGTAGAGAAACATTCAGCAGGATTTGCCTGATGCGCCATAGGCTGGACAAGGGTGTTTGACTTAGAGCTTCAGTTACTGCTGAATGATACTTGTATTTGTCTTGTCATGTTGTGTTTTTCAGGAGGTGAAAGTCTATGACGACATTGATGAGCCAGACAGGTAAGCTTCCCTACATTGTGTGCTACTGTATCTATCTGAACATGTTTGCTCCTCTTAGTTTCTGAGACTCATGTGTCGGCCTCTCTGCTAGTCTATTTGCCTGTCTGTCCTTGGTTATTTATAGGTCACCCTGTCTATTTGATAGTCTATTCTAGTCATTATTTTTCTGTCGCTATGTCTGTTGTTTTACGACTGCTTATGGGGCATACTATTATTTGTTACTGTCTCTCTGTCTGTCTGCTTGTTTGTCTGTGCTTTTGTTTTGCCTGCCTACCTGTCTGTCTAAATGTTTGTCTGTTGGTTTGCCTGTCCTGTTTTCTTGACCCGGAGGAATATACAAATGACCACGTTTTATTTTAAAAAGGCTAATGACTGGCCACGCACGCCCGTCAAACATTCTGCCCTTCCAGTCCACTCTTGCCTACAGTAATTCATTCGTACATCATTTCATAGTTAATAATATTAATTCACCACGCTGGATAGTGCTCTAATTAAACTTACATTACTGAACTTTAAAAAAAAAAAGCAAAGCAATAAAGATAATTCAGTAATACTATATGTCTAATTGGTTGCATAACATAAATATTATTGAGAACAATGAAATGTTTGTTACAAATGCTTGTGTGCGCTCGACTGACACCGACATATTTAAACAATAATAACTTTCAGTTAAACAAAGAAGACTACTACATCTAAGGGAAATATACCATTTGCACAACATACTATATTCTTTTGAAAAGACTTGCAGTCTGTATCTTCGCTTGCTGCTGAAGAGGGGGTCGGGGAGCTCATATAAATGTCATGAGTTCTGTGATGTTGGTTCTTAGGTCAAACTTTAACATTCTTCCCGGATGCTCATCTTTAAACCTGATATTATATGTTATTCTTGATTCCAATTCCATTCTTGATTACCTCTGCCCACCCCCCTTTCAATACAACCGGGTCCAACGCATCCTGTCTTTTGATTACTATAACTATAATGAACTGATTAACTAAATATGTGTATGTGTGTGTGTGTATGTGTGTAGCGCATGTTTTTAAACAGAGGCTGGCGCGACTGTTCTGGACTGCGATCTACTTTATGATAAAATGGATGTTGAAAAAGCTCTTTGGGATTCGACAGAACATACCGAATATGCATCCATGTGGAACGTGTTTCATCTGCGGACGAGAAGAGTATCCAAACGAAACTCAGCGATAAGTAGAACAGAGAAAAGGGATTTAGCCAGACTGCCCCTTTCGACATCAGCATTGGAATTTTCTGTTGGGTGCTGAACAAGGGGTCAGATAAAAAGTGGAAATGTCCTAAACCTACTTTTTTCAGTTATTGATTCGTTCATTAATCCATTTACCCACACCATCTATCCATTCATCCTGCAATGTTTTCCTTCATTTTATTTTGCCAGAAGATGTCAGAATGTCGCAAGAAGCAGAACAACTTCTGAGAACAGTCAACAGATAACCATTGATACCAACAACAACGATGACAGCGATGACAATGAGAATGCCCTGTACGAAGTGCCGGTGTCCAAGCAGATCCCAGTCGATGACAACAGCGTGTCATGTGGGACAGATGGATCGAGTTTGGCAACGACGGCCAGTACAGAAGAACTTTCACACGAAAGCCTGGATTCCACTACGACCCCTTCTTTAACCGGTGTTGCCCCTCCTCTTCCTGCAAGAAAAGATAGGTCTCTCTCAGAGCCTCAGAGCCGAAGTTTCGCCTACGATGAAGAAGAGAAGCCACCGGATCTACCTTATCGACCACCTCTGCCAAAGAGGAATGAGATCTATACACTTTCGGACAAATCTGACAGGTCGGAGACTGAGAAATCATTGACCTCTGAACCCGATCTTTCCGGTAAGATTGAATTTCACAGATGTCCCCCTCCCCCCCCCCCCCCCACCCGCCCTCTCTCTCTGTACCATGCGCTCCGCATGCTCTAGACAGGGGTAAATTGAAACAAAACTAGTTCAGTCTTCTTTAGCAAGCATACTAAATGAATGTTTGCTGAAATCACATCAGGTTTTAAGGAAGGGTGGAATTTTGCAGCCTAGCTGTAAATTACAACTGCCTTTTGATTGCGAAAGCAGAAGAAGAAGAAGAGGAAGAAGAAGAAGATGTTGATGATGATGATGATGACAAAGTAGAAAAAGCAGTAGATTTGATTATTAGTTTACGCCACTTGCTCTCGATCTACTTTAAGTGCAAAGAGACGCACCCGATACATTCATGGGTATCCATGTGGGTCGAGCGCCTCACTATATTTGGTGACAGAATGCTACAGAAACCTGGACACATATGTTATGCCTTTCAGGATCAAGTTACATGCAGGATGGTTGGATCTTTTTTTTTTTTTTTCTTGAGCCTATAAATCCATCTGAATTTATAGTGTGTGTTTTTTTTTTTTTTTAATACTGTCGGAACAGGCGAACATTTTGTTAAATCCATTATATTGTGTAGTCTCTTATCTGGAAACCAGAATTGAATATGTGGAACTATGGATACAAATCAGAATAAAGCGTATTTATAAAGGGGAGGGTGGGTATTGGCCTGAAGATCTTGGGTTTGAATCCATATGGAGTCAAATTTAAAACAAAAACGTATTGTTTCCCAAGTCCACCTAGCCAAAACATTTTATTTTTTTATTTACAGACTTAGAGCAGTTATTTCATAATGGTCGTTTGTAGGGATACATGTTATTACATTTGTATACTTAAAGTGTAAAAAAAATCATAGTTGTCATGGCAATAGCCGCCATCCTGTGAAACAAAACAATATGTACTTAAAATCCTAAAATTTTAAAAACAAACATAGGTATTCAACAATAGATGATGGATCCATTACCTTTTATCTTATTTAGAGGTGCAGGTCTAGATTATTTACTTTAAACATGTTTTTAAATATTTTTCGTAGAATTTTAAAATGTAGGTTTATTGAAAAAGTCAAAAAAATCGAGCATCATAAAACAATAATCAAATTTTAAAAAGCAAAAACTTTCTAAAATCTACTTTTAAATAGACCAGTCCCTATAATATTGTTTACGGAGTATGTATACAAAATTTCATGTTTCTACTCTTTATATATTAGCTTAGATTTTAAGATTTCACACACTCAGCAAACTGAAATATAGAGATTTGAGAAAACTGACTTTTAAACTTTTTTTATCTTAAAAAAGTGCACGAGGTGGTGTCGTTAGTATTAACTTTTCAATGCTAAATTGTTTACAAATGACATAAATTTTGTGTGTCATCTATTCTACGAATGCCGAACTTTACAAAAACGAACACATTGAAAAAGTGATATTTTTGTCATAAATTGGGAAAAATGCCGTGTAGTGACCCCTTAAGTCTGGAAAGTAAAGGTGGCCGGCGTCATGTTGACCACATCACCCACCGAGTGCCGATTAGTCTACTTACATGTGAGTCCAGTATTATGTGCCCGATACTCCACAGGGGTGAAAACGGCCTTTACTTTGAGGGGGGGGGGTGGTGAAGGGGCCCCATAAAAACACAGAAAGAAGGTTTACAGTTTGTCATCGAAACAGCAAGCTCTGAATCTCATATTATTGCCAGTAAATGAAACAGAAGGTTGTGAACAGACATGAGCGCCAACGCCCGACGACGTGGACTACAAGAAGGTTACAAATCACATGTAACAGATGTAACAAACAAAGCAGGGAAACCCACAACTACGAGAACGTTCTCCATAAGAGTACGCTAACACTGTTAAAAACTAAATGCAGTAGCCAACAAGATGATAGATAAAAGATAGTATTACTTGTGGGCATAAAACAAATCATTGCACGCCGTGACAGTTTTAGGACTTTGTTCACTCAACCGTGCCGAGAAAAACGATGCAAATCTCTATTATGTTTTCTATTTGGCGTGTGGATTAGGGTCTGTTGACAAGGAAATACTTAAGATAGGTCGTGAAATCTTTAACTACTACTTCCGATCTCAAGAAGACACTTGACACAGCATAGCAGCCGCATCCATTCATTTTTGAAAAACAAAACAAAAAAATCAGCCACGTTCAACCATGTGCAAGTAAAAAAAAAAAAATTGTTATATTTGTGGTCTGCCTACTTTGTGCCTAATATGTTAGCTAAGGAATGTTAATGGCACGAAAAACTAGTGACTTGGACAGGTACTCTAGTACCTAGTGGGGGTTGTCGGGGAGGGCGTTGGTATGAAGTATACACATTCGCACACAAATATAGATATACATATACACTTATATCTTAAATACTTAACATACACATCTGCGCGTTTACATGGAAATGTGCGACACGTGTTTGTATACACACACACACACACACACACACACACACACACACACACACACACACACACACAGGTGCACGGCCCCGCACGAATGCACGTATACGTGACTGTGGCGCGGTCACAAAGACAACGTTGGTGGAGGTGGCTCGGAAGTCTAGTTGGTGCGTAATCAATATTATTATAATATCTCCTCAAGCTGTGGTTCGTGTCCTACGTAGTGGAAGCAACGCAGCTATTGACAGTACTAAAGCAATAAACACAATCACAGCCACCACTTATTCCACCAACAACAACAACAATCATTACACTAGTTCTCTATTATGTTTTAGGTGACGGGGACAGCACGAGTTACGAGTCCTTTGATGAAGACAACGATCCACCCAGCACGGACATCGCCAGTAGATATGACGTCAAACTGCCAAAGTAGGTTTTCCTGAATGCTCGTGACTATCGTTATTATTATCGCCTTCGTAGTCGTTATTTTTTTGTATAATCATTTGCGTGTTTATTTTAAATTGAGTGCTCACCATCAAATAAATACTAATCATATTTTCATGTTCATCAAAATATTCAGTCTCACCATAATTTTCATATTCATCATATTATTTTTGTTCATTTTTTCATGTTCATAACAATTTGTTCATCATAATTTTTACGTTGATCATAATTCACTTGGTTGTGATAATGTTCATGTTAATCATAATTCTAAGTGTTATAACAATTCTTATGTTCATAATAATTGTCCTGACTTTCACAAAGCTTACCTTGTTTAAGCGCCCATGCTGGGTAATGAGTGAATGTTTTCTCACTATATTTTAATTTGTCGTCTGTCCAGGATGTCTCCATTATTTTAGTTATCGTCTGTCCACAATGACCATATCTTCTAAAATCCACATCTCTATTGCATCTACACCCCGCCCCTACTCTTGCTCGACCAGAGATGACTTCTTCTGCTTCTTGAGGTTCAATGCTGCAGATATCACCCGCCTCCATTCATCTTTCTGGTTAGCCTTCTCTTTCCAGTTGGTAACACTAAGTGTTTGCATGTCTGTCTGGATATTATATTTAGTAAGCTGACAGCTCTAATTATGCTACCGCAACGACTATGTAAATACACTTCGTGTCTCAGAGTACCTTTTGCAAAGTCACCAATTTTGTCTTGTCCTGTCCGAGAACATCCGGCAATACGTGCAGCAGGAGAAAATCAACCCTGAGCTTCATGAACTCAGGTGGGCCCACTCTCTGAAAATGTATAGGAGCTAGTGGGCCTAAACATTTGTCGACGAGAGATTACTTCTTCTGATGATTGGTAGACTCCTGCTGTACATGCTCCCCTTTGGAGTTTCTTCTCATTTTCATCGAGGAACTTCGGCTCTGAGGCTCTGACAGAGACCTATCTTTACTTGCAGGAAGAGTAGGGTGAAACACCGCTTGAAGCAGGGGTCGTCGTGTAATCCAGGCTTTCGCGTGAAAGTTCTTCTGTACTGGCCGTCGTTGCCAGACTGGATCCATCTATCCACAGGGCACGCTGTTGTCATCGACTGGGATCTGCTCCACACAAAAATGTCTGATTGTAAAAAAATCTAACGGCTCCCGAGTGGGCAGAGCATATCGGTTTCCAGCTCGGAAAGGTTTTTTTTTGTCAGGGTCTTAATGCCAAGTCCTAATGGGTACAGTTCGTGGCGACAGCATTAGACATGCCTTAAATCCTCAGGCTCACTACTTCTTCTTCTGCTTCTTCTTCTCTTCCACCTTTTACCTCATCGAAGTGTCGTGGGGAGATGTAATGTTCGTTGATGATCTCTGTCAAGAGCACTATTAAGACTGATGTTCATTTCTGTAAGGCTGTTCTTAATGCCATCACTCCATATTTTCCGAGGTCTTCCCCTCGCTCTATACCCGTTGCAACATTTTAGTGTGGCTCGCTGTGGTGGATAGTACCAGGGCATTCTTGTTAGGTGTCCAAACCACTTCATTTGTTATTCTTTAACGACTTGTAAGACTGGCTTTATTCCTAGCATTCGTCTGATTTCATGATTTCGTATTCTGTCTTTCCTTGAAACTCCTGCTGCTCTTCTGAGGCATTTTATCTCTGTTGTCACAATTGTACGTTCATTGGAGGATCTAAGTGTCCACGTTTGGCATTAATAGCATAGTGTTGGCCGAAAAATAGTTCTGATAAGATTGACTTTAGTACTCCGAGGGATCTGCTTGTGTGTCAACAGGGGAGATAGTTGACCCATTACTTGATTAGCTTTGGCACATCTGGGGCTAATTTCTCTGTCCAGTTTTCCGTCGCATGTAAAAATTGCTCCCAAATATTTAGATTCCTCTGAGGGCTCACTACACCAACCTAAAAGGGGTAAATAGGACCAGGGAAGACACACGTATTCTGTATGTAAATTATACACACAGAGAAAAGAGGAGCAGGGGAAGGAAACGATGAAATTCGAAAGGAAGTGAGTTTGAAATAATACTTTATTTCAGAAAGCCAAAGCAGAAAACAACAATACGAAGAAACGGCAAGCTGCGAAAGTCAAAATCTCCTGTGCCATGGGAAATTGATGTCCCGTTTCAGAAACTGGACAGCATCCACATCTCAGGGGAGCTCTTCGACAAGGGCAAGTTAAAGTGGAACCGAAGAATTGTTGCCATTAGCAACGGTCACATGGTTGTGTACAAGCCAGAGAAAGATGCCAAGCCGTCGTTGGTTATCCCTCTTGCCGGATACGAGGCAAATATTTATGAGAGGGAAGGCAAGAAAGGGTTTGAGGTGAGGATGACTAAGACTGAAGGCGACTCTTTCAGTTTTTGTGTGCAACTGAAAGAATGGGCTCAGATTTGGACCGAGGTAAGTACATTATTCCAGTTTTATATTGTTCACATTCTGATGGTTGCCCTATATGTTGACGTGACTAGCATAAAAGGTGTTGCGTATCCTTTAGATGGAATTGCAGAACAAACCTCAACATTAATTGCCTGTTGTGGTTTTTCTAGGCAAATTGTACGTTCAGTAGTTTGCCATTGTTACTGAACGATTGGCTCTCCATACTACTTTCGAAACCTACGCAAGGCGAAAAATCTGCAGCCAGGATCGAATTCGACACCCTGGCATTACTAAGCAGGAGAAAGTGAGCAGGAGTTAACAGATCTGGTAAAGGACACGTTTCCACACCTCCATTGTGTCTACATTAAGAGTATAGGGCTAGAACTAAATTTTATAGACCAATTGACACTCAGTAGGTAATGTAGTCAACATTACACCGGCCTTCTTTCTTTCCCAAACCTAAACCTGGTGCCGCCTTGAGTCTTGGTCAACCTGCCAGCCATGGTTATTATTGAAATGAAAACTTCTGCTCCGTCGGGACCTTAACCCACAACCTTCCGAGTCGCAGTCTAGAATCCAGCTGCTACATCAAGACGGCTCTTATAGGATCTAGTGAAGCTACTAAACAGGCAAAATGTAGATCACGGTTTCATCGTCGTCATCATCGTCATAATCATCGTCATCATCATCATCCAGCAGTGATGTTATGCGTGTTCAGAATGCTTAGTACATTCAGATCACCTTTGTTCTATAATTGTTGATACCAGCTGTTGTGGTGTCTTCGTCATTCTTGGATTCACCCCTTTTAATACTGATCTAGTTACTCGTGTATTTGTTGAAAAATCCATCTAACTGTCGTTTCATGTCTTTAATGATTCGTCAACTGTCACGAAGAGAACTTATTGCCCACATCAGAAAGAGACAATCTACATTCTTTGGTCATACACCGGTGTGATGGGAAATGAACAGGCGGACGGACTGGCTGGCTCTGCGCAACTTGGTGGAATACTGATCCATGATAAGACAAACGTGGTTAGTGCCTTGTGGGAGAGCGTGTACAGTTCGGAGGAGCAGATAGATCATCACAGTCTGGTGAGATTGATGCAACGGGGAGTGACGAGAGGTTTTGGCAGATGCTCGAGGCTCAGAGGAAAGGCAAGACGGACGTTTAATCAGAAAGCTACTGGCACCATTAGTATCGGAACTCTTCGCTGGCTGCTGAAGATGGAGAAAGAACGCTTATAGGGATGCCTCGAGTTTTGTGATGTCGGTTCTTGAATCAAATCAAATTAAATCTGTTGTCATGTGTTGAGAAAGATAAAACTGGAGTACATCGTGACGATAGGAAAGTAGGAGGGGAGGAGAGGCTGAGGGAGACCGAGAGAACATATGCTGGACAGTTTGAATCATGGCATGAAAAATGATCTGTGTCAGAGTTGATTGAGAGTACACGAGACAGAAGGTTGTTGATAGACATGACTACCAACGCCTCACGGACTTTTTGGACATTCAAACCACGTTGATATTACAGATTAACGCCAGCTCACAAACTGCCCGGCCAGTTGCTCGAAAAGATTCAGTTATCTAGAGAGGCCAGGGTGAAGCTGGCTGTTGTATGTAGGTTTGGTGCACGTGATGGATGACGTCACGGACGGGCGAATCTGCTTTTGAACTGACCTCCAGGGATAATCTTTAGATACGGATCTGATCAGCAATCTAGGTGGCTGTTTTTAATTTTTTTTAATTTTTTTTTATTTCCCACCTGAGTTGGCATTACAAATTCAATTTAAAATCAAACAAACAATCAACAAAAAAAAAAAAAAGTATCTTCCTTTATCAACGCAACATTCTAATCATCATCAAATGCCTGACCGATCATGCCTCTCCTAAATCTACGATTCTCAACAGCGTTTATCAGTTCGTGTGTTTACACCCCACCATATCATTATCAAAGACTGTCAATAATCTTCTCGAGTTTTCCTGTTTGTTTTCCCCACAGAACTTTATACTGGTCAAAATGTGTTCCAGTTTTCCTTTTCTCACAACCTGAATTCCCTTACCCCCCCCCCCCCCCCCCCCCCCCCCCCCCCCAAAAAAAAAAAATGATGGTTGCCTCTTTCTGATGATTGTGATAAATTCTGTTCTAACCTTCGACACTTTCAAAAAATCTGGGTTGCTTTTTTGTCTGTCCAAGGCATTGTAAGGGTTATTCTGTGAAACCACATCGCTGAGACCTGAAGAAATTGTTTGCATTGTTTATTATCTGTCCGGGATTCACCACCATCTGTTAAATCTAGCACTATATAGCACGCGGGAATTGCTTTCCTTACCTCCATGGACATGGATTCATTTTAGAAAAAGACATAAATTGTTTATGTTCAAGTCATTCGCATGTTTTCTCAATTTTATAAAATGCAGTTTTAGCATGTCCTTTGCTGTTCTTTATTCCTGTGATACATCGTTGGTCGTATGTGAATCCTTGTGCCTACTCAAATGTATGCATTTGTCCTTAAAAACCTCCATTGATTGTATTTATACATTTGGGCAGTCAGCCTTGTCCTATTCTGTTCTATCTAATGCTAATACATCCTGGCACAATTTGGCAGCTAATACATTTGATGCCATCTACCAGCACATTAACGGTCACGCGAAAGGCCAACCGCCACCGAAGTACCATACGCATCTGGCAGGTTCGTTGTGCGAGTGCGCTGATTTCTATATCAACCCACCAACGTTTGGAAGCAAGGTATGTGAATTAGCTTCTTTGCTGTTGTTTTGTTTTTGTTTGATTTTCTTCTTTCTTTCTTTCTTTCTTTCTTTCTTTCTTTCTTTCTTTCTTTCTTTCTTTCTTTCTTTCTTTCTTTCTTTCTTTCTTTCTTTCTTTCTTTCTTTTCTTTCTTTCTTTCTTTCTTTCTTTCTTTCTTTCTTTCTTTCTTTCTTTCTTTCTTTCTTTCTTTCTTTCTTTCTTTCTTTCTTTCTTTCTTTCTTTCTTTCTTTCTTTCTATCTCTGACACATATCAGTTTTATGTGTGTGCCAAGGCACGCCGGCGGGCCAGGAAATGAGCAAGCTGATAGGCTTGCAAGTAAAGCTACTGTGGATGTTGGGCAAGCCATGGGCCAGGCAGATGCCGTGAATGCCCTACCAGAAGTAAGACGTTTGCCAGAACCTAGTAATTACTGTGAATCTGCAACCATGACCTGACTGCGAGAACAACATATAAGAAGGAGTGTTGTCAGTCAAGAACAACAATATGCAGGTAGCCACAGAACAGTGAGAAACCATCACAGGACTGGTGTTGTCAGCTGCTCACGCTGTCGGATTTACAGAGGAGGGGATCCGAGCACTTATGGACTAAATGGTTCGTTGTGCACTGAGGGTAATCTGTCGACTAACAAACTATCAAACTAACAAACTAACTAACTAGCTAGCTAGCTAGCTAACTAACTAACTAACTAACTAACTAACTAACTAACTAACTAACTAACTAACTAACTAACTAACTAACTAACTAGCTAACTAACTAACTAACTAACTAACTAACCCATTAACTATTAAATACAGTCATACAGATACAAACACACTCTTACAGACTTATACATACATATATACACACACAACGACACACAGACGCATACAAACACAGAAAGACATACAGACGGATATAGACACACGGATACAGACACACACACTGACTGACTGACTGACTGACTAACTAACTAACTAACTAACTAACTAACTAGCTAGCTAACTAACTAACTAACTAACTAACTAACTAACTAACTAACTTACTAACTAACTAACTAACTAACTAACTAACTAACTAGCTAACTAACTAACTAACTAACTAACTAACCCATTAACTATTAAATACAGTCATACAGATACAAACACACTCTTACAGACTTATACATACATATATACACACACAACGACACACAGACGCATACAAACACAGAAAGACATACAGACGGATATAGACACACGGATACAGACACACACACACAGTGTGCCAGCAGTTAAGTATCGCTAGAAATCGGAACCCCTTTCTGACTTCATCAGAATGATAAATATAGTAGAAAGGTTAAATTACCCCTTTTTTACACGTTAGTGCTGAATCGAAAATATGATGCTCGACTAGTGTATTTATAACCCAATCGGCACTCAGTGGGTGATGTAAATCCGTCAGGGATAACTATAATTACTTGATCAATGGGCCGCCCTCCCTTGGGTCAGTCAAGCCTATGTACACGCCATTCTGTCACTGTCTGGGTCTTGATGAGAAACCATGATCCATTTCTTGCCATGGCTGCTCCATGGATTTTATTGGCTGTCCTGTCACATTCCACTAGCTATTTCTGCCATGAGTGTTGCACATCCTAGTAGAGTCAAACTTTGATTCCCCCCCCCCCCCGGACCAGGGCTGTGACGGGTAATAGAAATGAACAGATAACAGAAATCTAATAATATATGTGCAGTAAAGTGATTTCAAAACGGGATGGGGACGAAGATGACAATGAAATGCTTTAAAAACGAATCTTCATTATCATGTAGTATGTCCTTTGCAGAGCGTCGCTCTCATCACAGTCTGCCTGAAAGAAACTCGGTCTCTCGCCAGTTCTCCTGCCTCATGTACTTTCGTACTCAAGGAGTCACTTATATCCTGTGCCCATCTTCGTGGCGGTCGGTCCCTGCTCCTCCTTCCTGTTACCATGCCTTCTGTTATAATTGTTTCCAATCCGTCGTGGCGCTTGATATGACCAAAATATGTCAGCTTCCTTAAAAACGAATACTACATACATATTGTATTAAATCTTACAAAACGATCAATATAACTGTAAGCGTAGCACGGAACATACATATTTTGTAATACTAAAAATCTACATTCTTGAAAACAATCTGCCATCTCCTTCTGTGTGTTTCATGCTAGATCTTTCTGCCAAGGGATATTCTGTATCTTACAAAGAAGTAAGATATGAGTTACATTTCTTTCTTTTTGCATTTCAAACCTGTCGATGCAATTTGATAACATTGTCTCTGCTTCTGAGTGAAAAGTTGTATGGTTTCTTTACCTTTTAATGATGGCGGATAACAGAAACTGACGGTAACGGTTAATGCAAGTTTCAAGCTTTATCTGTACACATTATTGTCACCATCGTCATTTTTAATCATCATCATTTTATGCCAGGATCAGATTCACCATTCTGTTGTCTTATTCTCAAAATTGTCAGTTCAGCGCTCCATCAACATGACATTAGGTTTTCGTTATTGTTGTTTTCTGACTTCTTCTTCTTTCTCTTCTGTTTTCTTCTTTTCTGCCATCGTCATCTTCTTCTTCTTCTTCTTCTTCTTCTTCTTCTTCTTCTTCTTCTTCTTCTTCTTCTTCTTCTTCTTCTTCTTCTTCTTCTTCTTCTTCTTCTTCTTCTTCTTCTTCTTCTTCTTCTTCTTCTTCTTCTTCTTCTTCTTCTTCTTCTTCTTCTTCTTCTTCTTCTTCTTCTTCTTCTTCTTCTTCTTCTTCTTCTTCTTCTTCTTCTTCTTCTTCTTCTTCTTCTTCTTCTTCTTCTTCTTCTCTTCTTCTTCTTCTTCTTCTTTCTTCTTCTTCTTCTTCTCTTCTTCTTCTTCTTCTTCTTCTTCTTCTTCTTCTTCTTCTTCTTCTTCTTCTTCTTCTTCTTCTTCTTCTTCTTCTTCTTCTTCTTCTTCTTCTTCTTCTTCTTCTTCTTCTTCTTCTTCTTTTCTTCTTCTTCTTCTTCTTCTTCTTCTTCTTCTTCTTCTTCTTCTCTTCTTCTTCTTCTTCTTCTTCTTCTTCTTTCTTCTTCTTCTTCTTCTTCTTCTTCTTCTTCTTCTTCTTCTTCTTCTTCTTCTTCTTCTTCTTCTTCTTCTTCTTCTTCTTCTTCTTCTTCTTCTTCTTCTTCTTCTGTTTGACCAAGCTGCCTAGGTATGCTCTCTTTCCATCGATCTTGATAGTTGTTAAGTCTATTCCTTCTGAAATGTCAGGAACACACTCTCAGTTATTTCTAATCAGTGTCAGGGTTTCAACCATCTCGCGGAGGATTGTCCCGATTGTTTTCCAATCTGTTCATGGTATCTTTCACCCTCGCATTCTTATCAGGTTGTTCTGCTCAATATGGTGGACAGCAGGCTGAGCGTTTTATTTTTGATAAGGTTAATTGTTGAATGTTCTCCCATATGTGTACTGAAAGCGCTTATTTTCGACACCACAGTGCTGACCTGAGTTCCTGGCGCGACATTGTGAGCTGCAGGTTAGTTTGGAATGCTTTTTCGACTGCGCCTAACGTGATTTTTGCTGTTCTGCAGTTTATAAAATAGTCATGGCGAGTTTTTGTGGTGCCTTATGCTATATTGCGTTGCTAACTGCAGAATCTTGTAATTACTACTTCCTTGGACGATAAAATGCATTTCTAGGGGAGGACTGTTTGGTTTTTTGTTTAGCATGTCTGACGGCTGCCTATGCATTTAATGCGTCAGAGATACAGTGTGTTTCAACCGTTCACATTTGATTGACAGTTTACATAGTATTCGCTTGCGCAGGAACAGAGCGAGGCTGTGAAGTTGGAGCTGTGATTGACTGATTAATAAATTATTGTAAGAAAAAATCTATTGCCAGTAGGTGTTTCTTCAGCTTCTCTGATAATTCTCTCTGTCTAACGTGGATATAACTGCATATGTTCTATATAGCGCTGTAACATTCCGCTCTTTCCCCCTCCCACAGATATTGCCATAGTTTACTGGTAAGGATCTGTGGCATCTTGCTAAATAAAGATTACTTTTGCTTTACAATTCTTCTTCTAATTTCTGTCAAGCATCTTCAGTCAGGTCTTATTTGTGTTTCCATGGGATATTGTTTTGTGCATTACGTATAGGATTAGCACCTTTCCGTCTTTCCAGATGATGGACTTTTATTGCGCTATGACGTGGCATGGGACTCTTTGCTCATGGCGATGGCTAGTGTAACTGAACGAATTTAAATATACAGACAACAGCAGTGTTGTCCACTGGTCTAGGATAGACAAGGCTGTAACTTGAAATGACATGGACAAGTCAAATTCAGACATATCTGCATTGCATAACAACTTCATTATAATTAGATTTGACGAATTCAAGAAATGCTGAAATATAAGAGACATCACTTGACAACCACTGGTATCGGCGTCAGTCAGTTATAAGGCATACATGATTGCAATATATATTGAGCAAATCGTGAAGAGAAGCTAATCACTAAACACTAAATCACTAAAATCACTAAACAGGCGCTGATATAGGAAACAAATCGATTGAGGAAGCGATGACGTGCAAGAGAAACCCTAAGGTAAATGTTGTTAAGCGAGGCGACAGATAATCGACTGGATTCCATCCAGGATATCGCAGGGATTGTACAGGATAGAATGGAACTTAGGACTAAATGTGAACCTTATGTGTCGTATGTCTCATTACAGGATTCATTGTTATCCCCAATCGTCCTGTCGGAAAACCTACACTAGGAGGCCAGTAGCCATGATGAAGACTGTCATGCAATCGACAGTTTCCTGTATACCAAACAGCTTGTCTAGACTGTCATGCAATCGACAGTTTCCTGTATACCATACAGCTTGTCTAGACTGTCATGCAATCGACAGTTTCCTGTAAACCACACAGCTTGTCTAGACTGTCATGCGATCGACAGTTTCATGTATACCATACAGCTTGTATAGACTGTCATGCAATCGACAGTTTCCTGTATACCATACAGCTTGTCTTTAGTTAGTTATTTTTATGATTAGCTCGACTGCAGCCACCCGCGTTTTACGTCGTCACTTAGGATGTCAAAGAAAGAACATACAATCTGGTGTCAGTTTAACGTCGTCACTTAGGATGTACACCACCCTCAAAGAAAGAACATACAATCTGGTGTCAGTTTAACTGCATGGATAATCATGTCTGTGATGTTAGATATGAAGTTTCGTGGCAGGCAGGAGTATGTGTCTCAGAGATGATTGACAGTATACCAGACAGAAGGCTGCTCACAGGCTTGCTGACTAACGTCATATGGTATATACCGTAAGAAAAAGAACATCTAAAACCGCCTTAGACACGAGGATACTTTTTTAAGTTCACCATCATCTTCATTATCGTCATAATTACCACCTTCATCAGCTTCATCGTCATCATCATCGTCATCCTATTAGGATATGTACATGTCGTATAAAACCGCATTTGATTATTTCATTGTGTTCGATTCTGCTTAGTCTTTGTGATATCATCTACGTCATCTAGTCATGCACCTGGGGCCTCTCCCATCAACTTTCGTCACAGATATTCTGTTGATCGTCTGTCATCTCTTCCATTTGCTTCCTGTTTCTGTGCCTGTCCACTTCACATCAGGATGTGGCACATATACTGACATCCGCTTTCTCTTAATATTTTTGATCTCATAAGTTGTGTAGACATTGCTCTGATTTGTTCACCTCTCCTAAATGCATCCCATTCAACATCATAACAAGTTCTTCTTTATCTTCACCATTTTTTTTCAGGAAAGAAAGTGACAAGAATGGGGTCGTTTGCTTTTCGAGCCACCCAGTTCTTGGAGAATATTGGCAAGAAAACCTCAGGACGAAGGAAGTCGCCGCACCCAGCATCCTGCAGACATTCATGTGGGGATACTACCGATGCTTCCAGGAAACCTTTTCATATACTCGTATCATCTTCCAGCTCTTTGGGCAACTTGGCAAGGGGATCGGTGTCGCCGACCTCAGACAACAGCATGAACTCTGTGTTTGGAGATACCAGCGCTTCCTCACAACCCACAACTCCCTGTGATACCTCTGAGGCAGGTAGAAATCCTTGGGAAACGGAAGGCGGCACTACCTGTCCAGACATATCGTGCAGAAGTAGGTACTTGATCGAAATGATGATGTATGGAAGCAGTTGTCTGTGAGTTATTCATGGTGAATTCCTAGAGCTTATTGTAGTAACCTAATGATAACTGGTTTAGTTATTGTCCATTGATTCGTTAGTAAAGAGATTTTGGAGATCCGTCGGATTCATTACTCTTTAGCTCTCTGTTCGATGTCTTTCTTTCTTTCTTTTTTTTTTTTCTTTCTTTCTTTCTTTCTTTCTTTCTTTCTTTCTTTCTTTTTTTTTTCTTTCTTTCTTTCTTTCTTTCTTTCTTTCTTTCTTTCTTTCTTTCTTTCTTTCTTTCTTTCTTTCTTTCTTTCTTTCTTTCTTTCTTTCTTTCTTTCTTTCTTTCTTTCTTTCTTTCTTTGTTTGTTTGTTTGTTTGTTTCTTTCTTTTTTCTTTTCTTTCTTTCTTTCTTTCTTTCTTTCTTTCTTTCTTTCTTTCTTTCTTTCTTTCTTTCTTTCTTTCTTTCTTTTCTTCTTTCTTTCTTTCTTTCTTTTTCTTTCTTTCGTTCTTTCTTGCTTTCTTGCTTTCTTTCTTTCTTTCTTTCTTTCTTTCTTTCTTTCTTTCTTTCTTTCTTTCTTTCTTTCTTTCTTTCTTTCTTTCTTTCTTTCTTTCCTTTTTGTTTTATTTTATTCCTTCACTTCCTCCATTGCCTCTCTCTGTGTGTCTGTGGAGATGATGTTTGTGTTTTTTTTTTAAGGCTACCTGGACCAAATACATTCTTCTGTTATAGAGTTTCTCTGATATATTCATTTTGGTCTACCTCCTACTCTACGCCCCCCCCCCTCTCTCTCTCTCTCTCTCTCTCTCTCTCTTTGGTGCATGATATGACGTTGCAGGGTATTATTATCAAAGTCTGCAAACCATTTAATTTGCTGCATTTTTTTTTTTTTTTTGGGAAGTGGATCTGTGTCAGCTTATTTGTTTAAAACCTAATTTATGATTGTGTCTCTTCTGGACACCCATACAGTCTTTCTCAGATATCCATTTACCATGGTCACCAACTGCAGATGTTAACAAGGCCATTTAGGAGCTAGAGAGAAGTGCAGACTCACAAATAGAGCAACATGGTCTGGAGAGAATGGTGACCAGGGAGGTTAGCTAGAACTTAACACTCACAGGAAAACAAATACCGATATATAATCATGCTGCGCCTATAATGTCGTGCTATTTGGAACTGGCTGCTGAAGATGAGGAGAAAACCTATATTCTAATTTCCCAAATGCTGTGATGTTGTTAACTTAATTCCACTTTCCTGTTGGCATTTTCTACATTAGGAGTTATCTTTGTTACAAACCTAATGTAGGGTAAAAACCGTTACCAACAATCGAACAAAGATCATAAACACAATATGCTTATTCCTTCTTTAAACCACAGGTCACGTGTCAGTGTTCAGCAACTTCAACAAACGATGTTGGGGCAAGCGCTGGTGCCTGGTCAAAGGAAACATGTTTGAGTGCTACTTGAACGAACTCAGCCACCAGTGTGAGCTCACCTTCCCCCTGAAGACGTGCCTCCTCCGTCGAGCAGTCAGTGAAATAAATAGCGAGAATGGTCTGATGTTGGTTGAGGGCAACAAGGAGAGGATAACTATTGAGGTAAGCAGCGCAGTTAGTTGCCCATCTTTTACAGGACGTTATAGTGCACATTTTGCCTGTTAGTGAGTGTTCTAGGAAAGGTTACGTGCAGTAGCTTGCCATTGCCCCTGCCGATCGGCTCTCAATTACACTGTCGAAAACATGGTCTGCTGCCAAATGGTCTGCAGTTGGGATCGAACCGGGTAGCTCGCAATTAACAAACAACGTTTGCAACGACTAAGCCACATAGTAGGCAGCAAGATGAAATACATCTTTGTGTGTGTGCATTTTTTTTCTTTTCTAATCGCTTGATTAAGTAATATTAAAAGATCTCCCAGAGTGAGTCATTATGGACAAACATCGTCTCACAGAACCCCCATGCTTTGTGCTGTTGAGAATATAAACCTCATCGCTGGATTTAGTTATTATTGCCACGAGCAATCCAGATTGCCGAACCATTTAATTCTTTATCTGTCAGTATAATCCAGACATGGTCTGATTCCAACCTTCTCTCTCATGCCTCCCTATAGAATGCGTGGTGTAAACAGGAAAGTAAAGCGAATGGAAGGCACGGGAGTCTACGAGAAAAGATGCTGGGCAGTTTGGGATCATGGCGTGTATTTAAAAAAACAGCAGTAGAGGACCCCTTTCCACTCCTTTAGGCGTATTGGGCATATTTGGCTAGATCTATATTTTATACACTAATCGGCACTTGGTGTGTGATGTGGTCAGCATCACTCCGGCCACCTTTACTTTCCAGGACTGCACCTGGTACCAACCCAAGACTGGGTTTACATGGCTAGCCTAGGTCGGTTATTAATGAAAAAAATAGTCTGGCTCCGCCAGGACCCGAACCCACGACCTTTCGATCCGCAGGAGAGCGTTCATGGCGTGTTAGAACTCCTATATGAGAATAAATGGCTGGTACTACAAGATGTAAGGCTTTCGACGAGACACGACGACCAACGCCACATAGCACAGACTAAAGAAGTAAACTGATATTGATTACCTGAAAGAATACATTTATCATAAATATGATATTTATCAGAATGCGCATCATCAATTTTATATTGTCTCTCTACAGCCCCTTTCAGTGCATGAAATGGTACAATGGGTTCGGGTCCTCCTTAGAGAGACTTCAACTGAAGGTGTTCCAGAAGGGTTGGAGAGATTCTTGCAGGAAGACACAGGCGAACTGTTAGGCCCAGCTGTAAGTATCTGATTCTCTATTACCCTGACACTTTACATTATCACCAAGGATTAACTCTACATTGATGTTGTGATGATTGGTTGGTTCTGAATCATAAGAAATCTCTGTGTGTGTTACAGGGCCTAATTTAAGATGGAACACGGTCTCGTTAACAGGCAAGTTGTAGTAAGCGACAAACTGAAGGTTTGCTAACACTTGGTCGGTCAGCTGTCCTCCTCCCACATGTCTCATATACAGTTTGGTCTCAAAGCATTCTCTCTAGATTGCTAAACCATTTCATTCTTTGCATGTCAGTATAATCCAGACACCTCCTCTCCAATATTCCTAACTATGTCCTTTCTTGTGTTGTTAGTGACCTTGCGGTTATATTCGACTGTAGTGCCCTATTCATTTTCCATGTTTGGCACTGACAGCATAAAGTAGGGATGAAAATGCTATCGATCATTTACTGTTTTGCTGGAAGGGGAACATTTGGGTTTCAAAGCAGTGCAGCTATCTGGTAGTCGACAGCATTTGCCTTCTAGTGTGTTTATAGTCTGTATTTTGAGACTCGTTGATTGGATATGTAGTAAGGTATTTCCCAGTTATTTATATTTTAATAACTTGCTACAGTTCCAATCGTTTTATTTATATATACAGGATAGGGACAAGACTGTTTGCTCACACGAATATGAAGACCCAGAGGAAACAATGGCTGTAGTCGCTCAGCTCAAGGCCAGCTGTGAAACTCCACAAGGATTGGATGTTCAGAATAAAGCTGACATGAACGCTAACATCGTTCGGGCTTCAGATCTTGTGAAAGTCACAGACAGTTTGATGCTGACATGCAAGTACAACCAGACAACAGACAGTGGCTTCTACAGTGTAGTGGATGCTGCCTCAGCCAGTGACTCAGACAGTAGTTGTGGCAACAGCGCTGTTCATAATAAATCTGAAGAGGGATATTCCACCATAGATTCTTCACAGCTTCACAGTTCGTCATCTTCTCAACCAACACTCCAGTCTTCCTCCTCATCGTCATCACATAGATTTTCTCCATCACAGCCTTCCACGCCATTGCTTCATTCCAAAAAACATTCTTCTTCTGCCAAATCTCAACATCAGACAAACCAGCCACCAAATTCCGCTGACACAGATTCAAACACAATAAGCTGTGTAGGGCAGTCGGAAATAACAGTCAGCACACAACCAAATTCTATCCCAGCTTCCATAGTCACAAAATCTGGCAGTTCAAGAAGGACAAGCCAGACAATTCTCTCACCGTCAGGAGAAGAATATTCCATCATTCTCAAGCGATCAGAAAGAACATCAGTTTCCCAGATCTCCTCTGTTGATCTCAGTAATGGCTGTCAGTCAAAAGCAGTTGAGAAGCATTACGCTGCCAAACACCCAGCAAGTGATAAGAACACACATGTGGGAAATTCCATAGAAGCCAACAAATTTCCCAGCGTTGACAGATTAACACAATCTTTAAACTGTGACTTAATGAAACCAACTGTAAAAACAATAGCTACAGTTAAACCAACGAAGGAGCAGCATTCTGAAGGACAAATATCTACTATTACCAAACTGCAACATCCCTATGATTCTTTTGAGGACCAACCTCCACCGTTACCGAGATCGCCAGTTCCAAGTTTTCATCGACAGATTCCTACATTTTCTAAATCCATTCCAACCACACCACAGACAGTGGAAGTCCTGACAATTACGCCATGTCAGTCGGGTTCTCCAAACACAGTAGTATGCACACCCAACAACAACAAAGGACACGTAAGCATTCCTGACCTTCAAGGTAAGGAAATGCGATTATTGTTATGTTTGATAGTCTACTTTAGGTAGTATATTATTTCATTTCTCTAAAGAAAGAAAAAAGTCGCTGCAAACCAATCCCACAATTTGTTGGGGGTTTGGGATTTTACTAGATCATTTTACGCTCAGCATTTTGCCATTGTTTACTGAACTGATTTATAATTAAACGGCTACTGGTGCTATCCGAATTGGAGCTCTTCGCTTGCTGCTAAGGATGAGGACAGAGCGCTTGTTGGAGTGTCCCAAGTGCTGCGATGTTGATACTTAATTCAACATTAAACTGAATAGAGCAATCAATCGTCTGCAGCTAAATCGAACTTCATTATCATTATCGTCAGTATCATTATCACATGCCTTGCCGACATTAATGCTTCTCCACAGATCTCGGTCCCTTGTCCTTTTGGATCAGTTCTACCGACGCAGCCTATCGTCGTCATTTCCCTTGATCGGCCTGTCCCTCTTCTACTGATGATTTTCCCAGTCGTCACTGCATAATAGTTCCCATCAACACGTGCACACTGGCAACGTTCACGTGTATATAGGCCATCCCCATTTTTACTTATTTTGAAACCCTAGCCTGGGTGTTGCCATGGGCCCTGTTATAACATAACGGTTGAACGGGGTTTCTGAGACCTTTCCACAGGTGATCCTCATCCGAATGGTGGCATTTTTTTGTCACCGGGTGATTATCTTTTGATGTGATATCCTGGTGGATTAAAAACTACTACTACTACTGCTAACGTTTACGTACTAGCTGGAACATTCCTGGTACCCATTATTTGACACCTCTTTCAGTTGCCATGTCCCACTGCTGATGCCTTCCTCAGATCCTTAAGTTGTTGCCCTAGCAGTGCCGATTTTTGGTTAGGAATAAGACATTCAGTCGGTGCTCGGTCAGAAGAATACAGTGGAAACTTCCTGATTGTGCGGCTAGTTTTTTGACACTGTCTTCTGTCAGCGCCAACAGTGTTTCGAAAAAGCCCATTGTTTACAATGTTTATCGCGGTACGCGGTCGTTCACGACCTTTATCGTCTGTATATTAAATCGGTCTTGGGGGGAAACGCTCGTCATATTTAAAAACATGAGATTTATTCATTCTGTGTTACAAAAATGAAATTGATTGTCTCTAAGGGTGACCTCAAGAAAAACACAAAATTTTACATTTGTGAGTTGCTGAACAAACGTCTGTAAAAATATGGGTGCTCTTTTCATATACCCGATACGCCTAAAGGCGTGAACGGGATCTTTAATTATATAATTTTATACACCTTACTATTACCATCAGCTACAATATTAATGTTACATTCATAGCTGAGAGCTGGGCAGAACTGATCCGTAAACCAAACACAACTGTTGAAGAAATTGGTTCAGCCATCGACAGCTTCAAAACCAAGCAGGTTGAGCTCAAACGTAAAAAGTAAGTATGTAAGCTTTTTTTCTTGTTTTAGGAGTTTTGGCCAGTTTAGCGTTTAAGTGTTGGTCAATTCTTCTACCACAGATCTTTCTGCTCTTACAACAGACAATTTTATGCCTCATCTACGAAGCTCCTTTCTGTCTCTTCTACCACGGATCTTTATATCTCACTTATCATAGATCTTTCTGTGTCTTCTCCAACGGATGTTTCCGCCTCTTATACCATCAATCTTTCTGCCTTTTCTACCAAACATTTTTCTGCCTTTTCTATAACGTATCTTTCTTCTCTCCTACCTCGAATCTTTCTGCCTCTTCTACAATGGATCTTTCTACCTCTTTTGCCACAGATCTTTATGCTTCTTTTTCTGACTCTTATGACCGTATCTGTCTCCGTCATCTGTCACGATTCAGTCTTTTCTACATCGGATCTTCTTACCTCTTCTGTCACACATCTTTTTAACCATCATGCGACGAATCTTTCTGACTTTTTCAGCATGATTATCTCTACCGCTGCTTTTATCTTCTTTCTGCTTCTTCTATCATCGATCTGACTGGCTCGGTTGCTAGGAATTACGAGATACAGTCTCGCAATTGTTTTGTGCTACCAGTAGAGACATTTTATTTTGACCTGCTTGATTGTTCTTTAGAATGGCTGTCCACGACAAAAGGCAGCGGGTGCTCAGCGACGAAGAGCGGCTGGCTTGCGAAAAGGAGTTTGCTGCTTTAGAGAAACTTGGAGAATCCACTGAGAGGACAATCAGAACTTTACAGGTATTATGTTCTTTGTTTTGTTTTGTCTCCTGCCCTGCTTTCTTGTCGTGCTCTACATGTTTGATTCTGTTTATCAAGTACATGTTTGATTCTGTTTATCTTTCCCTTCCTTGTACCGTGTATCCTGTCCTTCTTTGATTATGTATACCCTCTCTTTCTTGATTCTGGGTATTGTGTATTTCTTTGATTCTTTGTATTCTGCCCTTCTTTGATTCTGTGTATTCAGTACTTCTTTGATGTTTTTCATTTATTATGTATATCCCGATTTCCTTTCGTTCTGTGTATCCTGTCCTTCGTTGATTATGTTTATCCTGTCTTCTTTGATTCTCTTTATCCTGTATTTCTTTGATTCTGTCTTTCCTACCCCTCTTTCAATGCATGTATTTTGTCCGTCGATTATGTATATCCTGCCTTTCTTTGATTCATATAACTACCGACATTGTTTCTTTCAATTGATTTCAGAATCATCTTGCAAATATAAAAGGCCATACTTTGGGAATCGTGAAGACAGCAGTTTCGAAACACAGTTTCAAATAACAACAGACAGACAGGAATCCCTGAAAGCCTGGAAATCATGGACATACCTATGAGAATCCCTGATATACTCATGGGAATCCCTGACATACAGATGGAAATCCTGCCATACACAACGGAATCGCTAGCATGCTCATTTGAATCAGTGGCATGCACATGGGAATTAGTGACATACACATGGAAACAGACACACAATTGGGAATCTAGGACACATACATTGGAAACGCTGACATACACATGGGAATCTCTCACATGCACATGGAAGTCACTGACATATAGGTGGGAATCATTATCACACATTATGGAATCACTGATATACACATGGGATCACTGCCATAAAATATGAATAGCTGACACACACATTGGAATCGCTACTTTACGCATGAGAATAGCTAACATACATATGGGAATCGCTAATATACACTTGGGGATAGTTGAACTACACAGGGAAATCGCTATCATATACATGGGAATCACTGAGATACACATGGTAATAGCTGATATACACATGGCATTTACTCACACATCAGCTGACACCTTTTAGTCTGTCCAGATGATAGTGCCCTATTGTGCTCCTAACCTGTCTGCAATAGTGTTCTTATGTTTCTGATCACACGTTCAGCTCCTAACCTGTCTGCAATAGTGTTCTTATGTTTCTGATCACACGTTCAGCTCCTAACCTGTCTGCAATAGTGTTCTTCTGTTTCTGATCACACGTTCAGCTCCTAACCTGTCTGCAATAGTGTTCTTATGTTTCTGATCACACGTTCAGCTCCTAACCTGTCTGCAATAGCGTTCTTATGTTTCTGATCACACGTTCAGCTCCTAACCTGTCTGCAATAGCGTTCTTATGTTTCTGATCACACGTTCAGCTTCTAACCTGTCTGCAATAGTGTTCTTATGTTTCTGATCACACGTTCAGCTCCTAACCTGTCTGCAATAGTGTTCTTCTGTTTCTGATCACACGTTCAGCTCCTAACCTGTCTGCAATAGTGTTCTTCTGTTTCTGATCACACGTTCAGCTCCTAACCTGTCTGCAATAGTGTTCTTTTGTTTCTGATCACACGTTCAGCTCCTAACCTGTCTGCAATAGTGTTCTTATGTTTCTGATCACACGTTCAGCTCCTAACCTGTCTGCAATAGTGTTCTTATATTTCTGATCACACGTTCAGCTCCTAACCTGTCTGCAATAGTGTTCTTATGTTTCTGATCACACGTTCAGCTCCTAACCTGTCTGCAATAGTGTTCTTATGTTTCTGATCACACGTTCAGCTCCTAACCTGTCTGCAATAGTGTTCTTATGTTTCTGATCACACGTTCAGCTCCTAACCTGTCTGCAATAGTGTTCTTATGTTTCTGATCACACGTTCAGCTCCTAACCTGTCTGCAATAGTGTTCTTATGTTTCTGATCACACGTTCAGCTCCTAACCTGTCTGCAATAGTGTTCTTATGTTTCTGATCACACGTTAAGCTCCTAACCTGTCTGCAATAGTGTTCTTCTGTTTCTGATCACACGTTCAGCTCCTAACCTGTCTGCAATAGTGTTCTTATGTTTCTGATCACACGTTCAGCTTCTAACCTGTCTGCAATAGTGTTCTTATGTTTCTGATCACACGTTCAGCTCCTAACCTGTCTGCAATAGTGTTCTTCTGTTTCTGATCACACGTTCAGCTCCTAACCTGTCTGCAATAGTGTTCTTCTGTTTCTGATCACACGTTCAGCTCCTAACCTGTCTGCAATAGTGTTCTTCTGTTTCTGATCACACGTTCAGCTCCTAACCTGTCTGCAATAGTGTTCTTATGTTTCTGATCACACGTTCAGCTCCTAACATGTCTGCAATAGTGTTCTTATATTTCTGATCACACGTTCAGCTCCTAACCTGTCTGCAATAGTGTTCTTATGTTTCTGATCACACGTTCAGCTCCTAACCTGTCTGCAATAGTGTTCTTATGTTTCTGATCACACGTTCAGCTCCTAACCTGTCTGCAATAGTGTTCTTATGTTTCTGATCACACGTTCAGCTCCTAACCTGTCTGCAATAGTGTTCTTATGTTTCTGATCACACGTTCAGCTCCTAACCTGTCTGCAATAGTGTTCTTATGTTTCTGATCACACGTTCAGCTCCTAACCTGTCTGCAATAGTGTTCTTATGTTTCTGATCACACGTTAAGCTCCTAACCTGTCTGCAATAGTGTTCTTCTGTTTCTGATCACACGTTCAGCTCCTAACCTGTCTGCAATAGTGTTCTTATGTTTCTGATCACACGTTCAGCTCCTAACCTGTCTGCAATAGTGTTCTTATGTTTCTGATCACACGTTCAGCTCCTAACCTGTCTGCAATAGTGTTCTTATGTTTCTGATCACACGTTCAGCTCCTAACCTGTCTGCAATAGTGTTCTTATGTTTCTGATCACACGTTCAGCTCCTAACCTGTCTGCAATAGTGTTCTTATGTTTCTGATCACACGTTCAGCTCCTAACCTGTCTGCAATAGTGTTCTTATGTTTCTGATCACACGTTCAGCTCCTAACCTGTCTGCAATAGTGTTCTTATGTTTCTGATCACACGTTCAGCTCCTAACTTGTCTGCAATAGTGTTCTTATGTTTCTGATCACACGTTCAGCTCCTAACCTGTCTGCAATAGTGTTCTTATGTTTCTGATCACACGTTCAGCTCCTAACCTGTCTGCAATAGTGTTCTTATGTTTCTGATCACACGTTCAGCTCCTAACCTGTCTGCAATAGTGTTCTTATGTTTCTGATCACACGTTCAGCTCCTAACCTGTCTGCAATAGTGTTCTTATGTTTCTGATCACACGTTCAGCTCCTAACCTGTGTGCAATAGTGTTCTTATGTTTCTGCTCACACGTTCAGCTCCTAACCTGTCTGCAATAGTGTTCTTATGTTTCTGATCACACGTTCAGCTCCTAACCTGTCTGCAATAGTGTTCTTATGTTTCTGATCACACGTTCAGCTCCTTACCTGTCTGCAATAGTGTTCTTCTGTTTCTGCTCACACGTTCAGCTCCTAACCTGTCTGCAATCGTGTTCTCATGTTTCTCTGTTCACTTCCTCGTGTGCAGACCTTCACTGTGATGGTTGGAACATGCAACACGTGCAATAACTGACATTTAAGAAAGGAAGTCAAATATGTATAGGATTTGCTGAGATTTTGCTCGTTTGGCATATCATATGCTGAACTGCTTTCATCGTGGTCTGGCGGTTGAACTCTAGGATATCCCCTGCCTCAAGTATGTTTATCTCATTTGTGTCTTTACAGTTCTTTGTCTATTTTCACACTAGTCCTTTCTGCCTGTCCTTACAGAAAAATAAATTATTGTCATCATCATCATAAACCACCTTCTGCGGCTAAGCGCCGTTGAGAGGAATAATTTGCGATCTACTTCACGCTGGCTGTCACTAGCTATTTTCATACTGTGAAGGCGTAGAGTGTCTTTAATGTTGTCGATCCATTATTTCCGCAGCCGCCTTCTTGCTCTTGTAGCCTGTCTTTTGAGGTGTAGTGCTTGTGATGGTATTTGATCTTGCTGCATTCTAACAAGATGACAAAAACACTTTATCTGCTGTTTCTGGATGAATCTAGTACAAGGTGTTGTTCCCACAGTTTGCCTGATAGCATCGTTATTAACGCGATTGGGCCAGTAGTGTAAACAAAGATGGGGGGACTGATAGAAATATTAAATACAAATTCAAACGAGACAAAAAGGAGCTTTCATAGCACTAGGAAATTTGTAAAGGTCAAAAGAAATCAAAAGAAATATTAAACTTAAAATTTTTAATAATTAAAATGTACTGTTGTTTGGAGCAGGAATATAGAGAAATGCCAAGGCAATTACTAATAAACAACAAACATCTGCCTGCACATAATAGAGGGAATAAAATGGTATGATAGAATCACTAATGTAAAGCTTTGGGATAAACCTAAGCAAGTTCTAGTGGACCAAGAGGTGAAGAAAAGACGCTGGCGTTGGATAGGACACACTTTGAGAAAACCTTAGAACAATATAACTAGAATGTCTTTGCACTGTGCCCACAGAGGCATATGCATAAAAGAAGATCAAAAAACACATGGAGATGGAAACTAGAGCGTGAAGTTTAAATGATGGGGAGAGCTGCATGCGATAGCAAAGGATAGAACGAGTTGACGTGAGGTGTTTGAGGGCCTATGCTCCACTGGGTGTTAGAAAAGCAGAAGAAACTGTCAAACCACTGTTAGGGTTTAAAATAGGGCTGTGCCGAATATTCGCTTTGTATTCGCTTCAGGGCCGAATAGTGGACTTAATAATTATTCGGTATTCGGCCGAATACTTGTGGTCGGGCCGAATACGAATAGTGGTTACCTTGCACCTGTTTTGCATACACTGCAATTGACTTAAATCACTCTCTCATTAACCCAATAGTTGCTGTTGCCTAAGTCTGTCGTAGTGGGGGAAACTGCGATCCGGTTGCTTTGTTCAGCAGCTGGCAAAGTCTTTGCCTGCTGACCCGACCGAGGCACAACAGCAGAGGTTCTCAAACTGGGTGCGTATGCCATGAAAATCAAGACAAGTCGGCTATAAATTGTGACATTATTAAAGAAGGCATGA